CTCTCTCTCCTTTAGCAAAAAGACGAAGTGTACTTGAATCTTGTACTGGATTACATACCTGACACAGTGTATCGTGTGATAAGACACCATTACAAGGCTAAGCAGATTATGCCTATGTTATTTATAAAGGTACATGTGTATTTATGTTTATAAACGTGTCCATTACACACACACTCCCTCCCTCCCTCCCTCTCTCTCTCCCTCCAGCTTTACATGTACCAGCTCTTCAGGGCGCTAGGTTACATTCATGCTAACGGGGTGTGTCACAGAGATATCAAGCCACAGAACCTTCTCTTAAACCCTGAGACCGGAGTACTCAAACTCTGTGACTTTGGAAGGTAAGGACTATTAAGAAACCTTCATATGATGATACCATTTATGCCACTTTTTAGTGCTAAGGTTCTTGTAAGAGGAGAACCCAACGTCTCCTACATATGCTCAAGATATTACAGAGCACCTGAACTCATCTTCGGAGCTACTGACTACACTGTTAATATAGGTGGGTGGAGCATATGATTAATTAATTAATTATTAATTATTAGATATATGGAGTGCTGGTTGTGTTTTTGCCGAGCTGTTGCTAGGGCAACCAATATTCCCTGGTGACAGCGGAGTGGATCAACTGGTGGAGATTATTAAGATACTGGGCACGCCCACCAAAGAACAGATTAGACAAATGAATCCTAACTACACTGAGTTTAAGTTTCCACAAATTAAAGCACATGCATGGAACAAGGTGGGCGGAGCTAGTTATTAATACTAGTTATTATGTTCATTATTAGGTATTTCGTCCTCGTACTCCCCCAGAAGCCATAGATCTGGTCAGTCGGTTATTGGAGTACACGCCCACCATGAGAATAACTACTCTTGATTCTTGTGCTCATTCTTTCTTTGACGAGTTGCGTCAACCCGGGGCCAATATGCCCAATGGAAGAGACTTCCCACCATTGTTCAACTTCTCACAGCAAGGTTAGGGACCAGCTGGCCCTATTTATTTAAATATATTACATGGTGCATGTACATGTACATGTACCATGTAATATAATTGATTGATTCTTGATTAAGTTGATTAATTGAAGGGATCATTATTGATTTAAGCAGCTGCTACCTTAGGTAGTGCCGTACAGTAATGCAGTACATTTAACTACATGTACACCATCTCTTGATAATACACTAATTATTGTTAATTAATGGCTTCCATAAACCACTCTTGAGTAAAATAATCCAATTACTTCCTAATATAGTTTAATTCCTAATATAGTTTAATTCCTAATATGGTTTAATTCCTAATATGGTATGTTTGTCTATTTTTAGAATTATCCATTTGTCCTTCTCTGGAGTCTAAGCTAGTCCCTCCCCATTATCACGAGTCCCTTTCGTCTGGTTCCTCAGGCCCGCCCCCTCAGGGACACGCCTCTAACGATGTACATACCACCGTTGTCATGACAACACCGGACCCAACTAGTGAACTAATGGGCCCAAATGCAACTGGACAGTGACCACACCTTCTTTTGAGGTGTGGCTGTTTATTGTAGAATTCTGTTTGCATTTGTTTGTGATAGAGGGAGGGGCAGGGGGTGTGGTCATGTTATATACAGGCTGTGATTTATATTACGCATACAGACAACAACAATTGTATACTAATTCTATTATTATTATTATTATTATTATTATTATTATTATTATTATTATTATTATTATTATTATTATTATTATTATTATTATTATTAGTTTGAAATTATTGTTATCTTCTATATTATCATTTTGCCTGTATATATTATTACAACCTCCTCTCTCTTTCTCTCCTGTAGCTATACACTTTCTCTCTCTCTCTCTCTCTCCACATACACTCATTCTTCATTTTAAAGTTTTTGTAGTATTCTTCATTGTTGTTATTTTCTTCCTCTCTCTTTCTCTGTATTTATATATACATCAAAATAGCAGGCTTCTTTCTCTCTCCATCTCTGTATTGTGTATTAACTCTTTTTGTAGAGCAATGGTGTAGTCTTCAATTTCTCTCTCTCTCTCTCTCATCTTATAATTTCTTATACATTATATTATTATTATTATTATTATCGTGTAACTTACTTCACATTATTATTATTATGCAAAAACATCTCCACCCACTCTTAATTTTAGTAATTATTATAAGGATTTATTGACAACCTTTTTTAAACATTTTTCGTGTCATTTGAGATATGACAGAAAAAACACTACCTGTCCTTAATACAGAGGTGTTGATACTTTTGTATAGGTTTGTACCAATTGGGACATCAAAAGGTGTCCTCATTTCAGAGGTGCTTTTGCAATGAAATGTGTTGCCCCTTTTTTGATAAAATAAAGAATAATTTATTATTATTATTATAGTTATCAGTGATTAAAGTTATTGTTTGATTTAATTGATTCCAATACATTTACGGCAGCAGCAACAGGAGAGGAGACAGGCCTACATAAGAAAAGAATCAATAACTGAGCTACACTAGACTACAGTATAGACATGTATAATAGTGTTTGGTAGAATAACTGTCAGCAATTAGGAGTAATGGAAGGCTATTTTGATTTAACTTACTAAAAAACGTCTTTTCCTTTTAGATCTTTTTATTACCATTCCTTTCTCAAACACTCCATGACTAGCAGTACCAAGATACTCTATTTAATATAACATTCAAATAAAGAACAGGAGAGAGAGAGGGGGAGGGAGAGAGGTTATTTCTTACGTGCTCTTGATAATAAATGATCAGTTTCAGACTCAAGGCTCCTTATTGTCTGCAGGTTGTAGTATAAAGATATACAATTCAATGTCAGTATATTCTCGCAGGAATAAAGTACCTTTCTTGGGTCAGGCCGCTTCGCCTCCATTCCTAAGCAAGAATAGGTGCACCACTCGAGCCACTCCTCTAGTCTGCAGAAAAGAGGCGGAGCTTCTTTTTCTTTTTAAAGTAGTTCTTTTTAGAGTTTGATATCTTTAAATAATAAAAATATAACACTCATTTAAGGACACACACACAAAGAATATAATATATAATATAATAAAACAGAAACATAAAAGATACAAGGAAGTGGTAGATCACACTTTTAAAAGGTATTCTTTATTTAATTCTAATTTTAATTTATAGTTATTGTTAATTGTGGTCCAATGTAAGACCTAGAGTTCTGAATGAATCCTTTAGTCCTATTGGTATTACTCCAGTGCCTCTGGCTCCTTGACTGTGCACTGCAGGTACTATCAACCAGTGAACCAGGAGGACTGCTAGTATCAGTGCTAGCCTCAGGTTGTGAAGGAATAGTCATTACAGGAAGAAGAGATGAGACTACAGCAACTTGAGGAGGTGCTTGTTTCTGTTGCTCAATAACTCCTGGAGATGGTAGCAATGCAGTCTCCTTGTTATTACTAGTTCTTTCATTGTCTACAGTTTCTCCTCCTGAGGTGACTGGAGTCATATTATTATCAGTAGAAGTGCTACTACTAGTCTCTTTGTTGTTAGTCTGGAGTTCAGTGATATGGTGAACAATATCTATAAAGTATTCTTTGGAATAAAGGAACACAATATGGAGGGAGAAAGTATAAGAGCCATCATGATCAATCTGTGGAGAGAGCGGAGAGAGAGGGGGGGAGAGAGGGGGAGAGAAAGAGGGGGAGAGATAGCTTATCATTCAAGTATTATTGTTACTTTGGGTATCCAGTGGGAGAGAGACTGTGAGTTTATCATGTAGTGTTTCTTAGAGCAGTCGACCTTTTGACCTTTTGGACTTAGAAAGAACGGAGAGAGAGTGATCAGAGATGAAGGAAGAGCCCCACCTTTAAAGAAAATAAATAAAATATTATCAGTAAGGGTGAGACCTAACTTAATGATGTAATTATAATAATTATTAATTAAAATTCTTAAAAACAGGTAGGCTGAATTATACTAAAATTAGGCCAGTGTGTGTGTGTGTGTGTGTGCATTACTGGTGTTGTTGGTGACTTTGATTCCAATAGTGACAGGAACCCCTGGAGAATATGATGGAGTCTCAATCCTCACATCTAAAGGAATATACAGGAAACTTAATAATAACACACACATCATGTTGAATTTATTTCTTATTATTTTAAAAAATAGCAAAAAATCCAATTTTGATCGGAATCAGCTGAAACTTTCTACACAACGTAAGAACATGTATATGTATCAGAAAAATTAAAGACTCAATATTATTATCATTCCCAACATACCAAAGAGTATTGGCAATGGTCTCATGATAGAAAGGACAGACTGAGGCAGCTGGAGGCCAGTCAGGGATAGAGCGCCATTTTTAACAACATAGCCTCTTGAGACCCATTTTATTTCCAATAAATCAACCAAACGCTCACAGTAATGTTTAATGACATTAGCCTAAAATAAATAAATAAATAAATAAACAAATAAATAAATAAATAAATGTTGTAACATTACCTCTTTAATTGATGTGTCTTTGTCAGGTAATGTAAACCTTTTCATTGAAACAGAAATTGTTTCATTTCTGTCGGCATCCAAAGTATAAGTAAATGTATTTGGAGATAAGCCATCTTTAAAATGTAAGTACATAATAAATATAATAATAATAATAATAATAATAATAATATTATTATTGTACCTTGTTTTATTTTTATTGTAATATCTAATGCATAAGGGGAGAAATTTTCCATCACCATACCAAAATTAAACAAATCTGGTTGACTATAAATTAAATAATAATAATAATAATAATAATAATAATAATAATAATAATAAATTAATTAATTAATTAATTCACATACCCTTTCACTGGTGTGACAACAAATTCATCAAACATAAGTGTTGGTTTCACAACAGACGATAGCTCCATAGTGACTTCCCTATAGTACCCCTCTTTGGCCCCCTCTCCCCCCGTATACTTCATCATAAAGACTGTCTTTATTGTCTTCTTCCCCGGGCGATGGCGCAGCTTCTCAGCTTTTGTTGGCCCAGATATGAAAGGGACTGTTGGTGCACGGGTCGTTTGAATTATTCTTGAAGTTGATGAGACCCCAACTGGTAAACTAGCTTGAGGACCAGCTGGACGTTTCTTCATTAATGTTGAAAGTCTAAAGGAGGAGGGGCCAGAGGGTGTGGTCGATGTACCCCTTGGTGAGTTAGAGAGTGAAGAGGGGCCCCCTGTGAAGGGGACTGGTAATATGTCAATCCCAGGGTCCGATTTAATGGATGCCCTGTCACTAATTGAACCATCAAAATCAACATCAACCTCACTTCTAACCGACCACTGGTCCTCCACTGATGGGGCAGGGTTAGGGGCGTTACCCTCACTGGGGGTATGAGTTACATCCTCCTTAGGGGTGTGGTCAAGAGGGTCCCTGGGGCTGTCACTCACATGTATGGAGGTGTGGTCTATTTGTGGCGATACTTTCCGTGTTTCTAAATTTAGCGAGTCGACTAAAGTTTTTGACTTAGTCTTAGGTGAGTTTGCTGGCTTCTTTTCTTTCTTCATTAAAGATGGAGACCGACGAGTAAAATCAAATCTTCTTTTCAGCTGATGGTCTTTCACCTCAGCTCCACCCCCATCCCCACCCCCTTCATTAACAATCTTGAGTCCTGTATTACTGCCACTCCTCTTATGAAGGGGCGGGGCCACAGGAGGGAGGGAAGGGGGTAAACTAGATCCTCTTTGCTGGAGGTCGAGAGACTCAAGTAGCTCTGATTTCTTTACTTCTTTCTCTTTTTTAGGAGAGCGTCTCAGTGATCCCTCCCTCCTCAGTGACCCCTCCCTCCTCATTAATCTTATCGGGGAAGAGAGTAGCGATGAAGTATTGCTGCTCCTTTCACTGCTAGACCCGCCACTGCTAGTGATACTGGTCGGCCGCGGTACATTTAATGTCTTAGACTTGTTTAAACCCAGGTCTGGTTTATGGGTGGGACTAAAGAGAGAGTTGATACGAGAGCGATGATGAAGAACCTTACAGCTCCCAACTCGAAGGTAGCTTGGGAAGGAGGAGGAGACTTTGACTGGGAAGTGGTAAGGCTTGTTCTTCTCAGTGAGGGGAAACAAGGAATTGAATTTATCATCGTCCCACGAGAAATGACAATACTCAACTAAATATTAATAATAATAATAATAATAATAATAATAATAATAATAATATAATTAACGGTGATTAGTTTACCATTATGTTCCTCTAGTGTCATCTTAATACAATCAATAGCAACATCTCCAATACTTTGAAACTGGAGCAGACACTCATACCTACAGTACAGTAGAGTACAGTACATGTATCAGTGTATCCATTATACACTCATTGTACACATTAATGTATCCATTATACACTAGCTCATGTACATAAGAGCATGTACAGTATACAGTATACACTATACAGTATATACAGTATACACTATACAGTAGGTTATGCTGTGCATGTAGTATCAGTGTTAGATCTAAGAGGCCATAGGCTAAATATGAGAGACCAATAGTCTCCTAAACTCCTCTAGATCTGACAGCCATTACTGATACTCACTGTTCTCCATCGAGCAGTTCAAAGTTATTAAGATTAGTGATGCTCCTCCTCTTAGCAGTGCTCCCCAGACTAGTGGTGCTGTTCCTCTTACTGCTGGGGGTTGTACCCTCGTCTTGGGGGAACGCCCTCACTCTCAGCTGAGGGAGGGAAGGGATCACTTTAATAATGGAGTCAGTTTGAGTGGAACTGGAACTGTTGCTGAGCCCAAGGATACAAGCAGTGTAACCTAAAGGAGGTAATGATAATAATAATAATGATGATGATGATTAATCTGGAAAAAACCATGGGCTATAGTACAGGGAAATTTTCAGAAAATGGTTCGTTTTTTAAAATGGCCATAACTCGAAAATTTGAGCTCGGAATCGGCTCAAACTTTCTACACAGCATAAGGGCATCAATATGCATCAGAAAATGTAATAAAAATTTGGGGTGATTTCGGAGCCATTTTTTTGAAAAAACCATGGGCTATAGTACAGGGAAATTTTCAGAAATTGGTTCGTTTTTTAAAATGGCCATAACTCGAAAATTTGAGCTCGGAATCAGCTCAAACTTTCTACACAGCATAAGGGCATCAATATGCATCAGAAAATGTAATAAAAATTTGGATTGATTTCGGAGCCATTTTTTTGAAAAAACCATGGGCTATAGTACAGGGAAATTTTCAGAAATTGGCTTGTTTTTTAAAATGGCCGTAACTCGAAAATTTGATCTCGGAATCGGCTCAAACTTTCTACACAGCATAAGGACATCAATGTGTATCAGAAAATGTAATAAAAATTTGGATTGATTTCGGATCCATTTTTTGGAAAAAACTATGGGCTATAGTACAGGGAAATTTTCAGAAATTGGCTTGTTTTTTAAAATGGCCATAACTCGAAAATTTGAGCTTGGAATCGGCTCAAACTTTCTACACAGCATAAGGACATCAATATGCATCAAAAAATGTAATAAAAATCAAAGTGATTTTGGAGCCATTTTTATTGATTATAATTCATTACCTGCTATTGACAGTGTACAAGCCTCTTGAGGTATACACAATAATACAAATTCTTGTGATTCACATTTTGCTGGTAAAGAAATATTTGAAGGATACGTCACTACAAAACCACCTTCCAGTAATATGGTCTAAAAGATACAATAAATAACAACAACAACAACAACAACAATAATAATAATAATAGTATTATATACCATTTTTTCAACTTTAATCTCAGTAGGTAGTGGATTGCTAACTATCATAAGTACTTCAGCTGGATCCCCCTGGACCCAAAGGACCTCTTGTTGCTGGTTCTTCTTTATCGTCTTCCTCCCAATCATTGAGAGGAGGAATGGGCCCTGGAGGAGTAGAACAAAATTAGGTACGGGTAATCAGTAAAATTTGAGCAGAAAAAATAAGAATGTATATGTATAAATCATGGAATAAAGTACATGTACATGTGACAGAATCTGAAGGTAATTTCATCACATGAAAATGCACTAACAAAATTGATGAGTTTATTGACAGGTATGTGCTAGATAGGACTTACTTCTGATGAATCAGACTTTGATAAAAGAGAAGGAAAGAGAGTGAGAGATTTCTTAACTTGTAGCAGCTCAGCTAGCGGCTGTGGTTTGAGCTGAGTGATACAAGGTATAGAGGTGAGAGAGAAAGGAGCTGATATCAGAGTATCACCACCGGTCATCTCTTCAACACAAGTCTTGATTTTATCAACATCTTCAGAGGAGAGATAGGAAAAGAACTTTTGTAATAATAACCAGCTCCACCTAAAGAAAATAAGAATATAGTATAGCCTCTCTTAATGGACACTCTCTATAGCGTACACCTCCATTTAATGGACAGCACCTAGTGTACCAATTACATTCCTTACTGTATAAAATAACCTCCACATAAAGGACACCTCTGTATAACAGAGACACAGTGTCCATTATAAAGAGCCAAGGTTGGTCTGTACATGTACATGTAGTCCACTCACTCAAAAAACAGTTCCTTGTATCCCAGTTCAGTGCAGCAGTAAGTGTATTCCCTGATGATAGTTGACTGGAGTAACGGCCAACCACTAGACACCTATATGGGTTCATTATTAATCATTATTATTATTATTAAGTATTGTTATTAACCTGAGGACATTGTTCATTATCAGTTGCAGTGTGGAACTGAGATATACAATACTGGAGGAGGTGATACGACTATAAAATAATAATAATAATAATAATAATGCTATTAATATTAGTGAATACCTTTAGCTTGAGTTCATTGTCATTATTTGAGCTGATCTTAGCAGCTGTTCTAGCAGCTGACACTATCATGAACATTGTCTTGCGCTCAAAGCCCATCTTATGGTACAATAGACCCATAGAGAGGTACAGGGAAAACTAGAAATGAACAACAATTGTTATAATGAGAGTTACTATTAATAGTAACAACAATCTATTAATAGTAACAATAATTTATTAATAGTAACAATGATCTATTAATAGTAGCAATACCTTGATCCGTGCGTCAGGTATATCAATTCCTGTGATATCTTCCAGAACATGACAAGCTTTTGAATAACTCTAACAACAAAAGATAAACAATTTTATCAAAAAAACAAACAGAAAATATGACGACAGTCAATACATACCACCAGCTGCTGCCTTACCAGCTGCTGCCTTACCTTTATCTGTATCAAGTAGGAGGAGTATTTAAGAGCTACCTCTATATACAATAGTCTACCAATTGGTACAGTCTGTGTGTGGAAATTAAAGAGTTTTTAAAATTAAAAGAGAATGGCTCTTACTTTGTCATAATAGTTCAAGAGTGTTTGGAATTCTTTATCAATGGAGTCAGTACTGGTGCTGTGGCCATCAGTTGATTCAGTGAAATCAGAAACAAGATTAACGTTATGATCAGCAACATCATCTAATGTGAAGACAATATAAAGTGACAGAGTTTTATTACGAGTAAAACCCCCAGCACATTAAACCCACCAATCATTAAATGTGTATAAGGCACCTGTACACAATAATCACCAAATTAAAAAACCGCCAATTACCATTTTACAGCAAAATCCCCAAAATAAAGTGTTACAAGGTAGACACACACACAAACCTGATACAGGCACTGCTGGTGACCCATCACTGGCGGTGGCCTTATCATCCTTACTGGCTGGAGTCTCCTTGTTTGAGGTGTGGTAGCCAGACTCTGTCAATGGGAGGAGGTTAGTGCATTGGATAGAGGAGAGCAATCTTGAGCTTAGAAGACCTTCAAGAGACAGTCCAGCCCAATAATGATCCTACATACAATGGACCATTAACACACACTGTAATAAACTATACTGTACCAGTGTGTGTGTGTGTGTGTCTGGAGGTGAGTATCAGTAATGTAATACCTGAGTCCCTTGATATCTGCCCTCAGCTTCACCTCAAGCAGATATCTCAGCCCTCGGTATTACATTACTTATACCCACACACACACACACACACACCTCCAGACAGGCTGGGCATGTACAATTACCTTCAACTGCCTTAGTGATCCCAATGCTTCTCTATAAGCAACAGCTGCTAAGGAGTATTGCCCCATTAATAGAAACAGGTCGGCCTTAACCTTTAGGGATCTAGCCTCTTGATGTCTATACAACATAAAAGTAATATCAGAATATAAAACCGGTTTAAGGAACAGGTTATTAGTTGCTTCAAATGAAAGTACAGTACATGTGTACGGTGTATGTTAAAAATGAAATAGGACTGGACATTTAGACACAGCTCATTGATAAATGAAAGGTAAAGTAAACTGACCAATTACCACCAAACCTCATTAGAATTCCAATAACAGGTACAGTACATGTACATGTATACTGTATTAGTTACTGTATAGCTGATGGTGCTTTTGGAAAAGAAGTTTTAGCTAAGGTCTCATTTTGATAGCTATTTGTACATTATGGATGTGTTCATGGCAACAAATTCGTCAGTTTAAAACATGCTAATTATCAAAAATGAATCAGAATTCTACCCCTACAGCTGCACATTAGTACTTAACATACTTTTGTTGCTCTTCAGATAATATCCCAGTCTCATTCTGATGGTCCAGGGAGCCAGCCTTCTTGAGCAGCTGTTCGGTTGTTATGGAGACAGTAAGGTTGGAATGTACCACTATCACAGAGTGAGAGACAATCTCAAGGAGTTTCTGAGAGGAGGAGGAGGAAATCTGGTCGGTTTTCTTAAAAGGAACTAAAACAAAAGAATCGTGCCCTTTGAGAGAAGACTTGAGTTCTTCATTGTCACCAAAAACGAGACACCTGGTATGGGTGGGACACGGAAAATGAAAGTAACACTTACTAAAAGAAATACAACTGGGGTTGAAAAATACCGCACTAGTATATTATTAGTATATTGTTAGTATATTAACTTGGGAGTGTCACTTCATAAGGTTTATGATAATGTTAGTGTTTTATCAAGAATGTATACAGTGACATGAAAGATAAAAAAATCATAATTTAAAATATCTAAAACCACTTAACCTGTGTAGTACATGTATACAGTCCACCACATTGCAAGCTAATTCGACTTCTACTCACTACCACAACACGTTAGCTGCCAAAATGTGTCGACCAATTCAACAAACACATATATATACATACTTTAAGAAGATTTGAAAAGTTCGTGTACATGTACGTGGTTTACTTGTTAGTGATCAAGTGGTGAGAGACTCTCTCTATCTCTTTCTTATAGTTTGATTCTGCTTCAATAAAGTCGTCAGGATCATGGCAGAAAGCAACTCCAAAATAGCCAAACAACCTCTTACTGCCCCCACAGGTGAGGGAATGAGAGCCGGGGGATCCCTTGCTGTCTTGGAGGAGAGAGTGAGGAAGATCAGGAAGGAATCTTAAACGGAGTGTGTCGTGATTGCTGGTCCCTTTCAAACTACTTGGAGCCTGAAAGGGAGGGAAGGATCTCATGTGTTGGAGGAAACCTTTTACAACAGGACCCGAGGACTTGGTAAGACCTCTCACTAGAAAGGATATTCGACAATTGTCCTCTAAAGTTAAGTTAAAGTCGGATTGCTCTATATCACAAAGACTGTATTCTGCCATTACTGCAGTCGACAACTCCTCCCACTGGCACTGATAAAATTAAGAAATGGCTGCACCTCCTTTCAAAAACAATGGGGACTTTTTTATAAGGCAAAGAAACACATAAATACATGTACATGTACACACAAATAAATAAAAAAGAGATTTAATCGTTCTTTCAAAAAGCAATCTTCTTTATCAACAAGTAAACATTAGTGTCCATCATAAAACCTTGTAAATTATTAGCATCTCCTTGTAATCTCATTAGCAAGCCGCCATATGACACATAAGCTGATCTATAAAAGAAGTATCCATTTAAAAACTATAATCTCTTCTTAACTCACAATCTTCCGGAATCACCAGCTCCTTCATTCCCCTCTATCCTGTATATCTTCCCATACATAACATACTCAAATGCATCTGCTAGTGAGGGGGCACCGTCTGTAAAAAATAAAATACATTAATAATTTTGAGTTACGGCCATTTTTAAAAATGAGTAAATTTCTGAAAATTCGCCTGTACCATAGCCCATGGTTTTTTTAAATGGCTCCAAAATCACCCCAAATTTTTATTACATTTTCTGATACATATTGATGTCCTTATGCTGTGTAGAAAGTTTGAGCTGATTTTGATTTCAATTTTCCAAGTTACGGCCATTTAAAAATCAATTACCCGTTACCCTTGACCAGTTGGTACCTGTAGTAAGGAAGTCTCCATCATCTGGTAGTCCGTCTTCTCTGAGCGTTGTAGTCAGTAAAAGCCTGAACTTGTCTCCAAGACTTACAGGGTAGAGCTGAGTATTTACGTCAAGTATTAGATCCATTTTGAAACTCTCGCTCTCACAAAACAGGCGAGACACTGAGGGGGGCAATAATTAGAACACTCCATTAGTCAGTATATGTACGTACCTCTTTCAAATTTCTTTCCATCAGGATCAATGTCTTTAACATCGAAAATGTCTTCAAAGAGAATCCCTGCCATCTTCTACCATGTGTAGTTACTAGTTAATTAATTGATGGGTGTGGTTTTGTAAAATTATTAATGAGGTGGGGCTCATCTTTGCAAAACAGAAAGTATCCTCTCTCACTGGAATAACAGGCGAACCTTTTGATGTTATCGCGTTATTTTATGCACTAAATCCCACTAGAGCTTGTCTGTAGATAAAGATAATCGTTATCTTTCTGACTACTCACCTATGATATAATACATTCTCTCTGGAATGTGACATAATTCCAGTTACACCCACCACTACTGTCCCTCACCTGCTACTGTCCCTCACCCCCCATTGTCCCTCAGAGCAGTAGCAGCTGGTGATGTGTTTTATGTATTTAAAGTATGCTCATGATATTCTCTAGTGACACTTGAATCATTATTTTAAAATAATAACATGAAAGCAGATACACAATCACAAAAAGAAAGTAAAATAACAGTAAAAGTGACATTATTATTATAAGTATGTCTCTCAATAAAATCTTCAATTTTTGCTTACATTTGCAGCCGCCATTGAATCCGATTTTACCTTAGGTCCTCCACAACAAGGGGAGGGGGGAGAGTCTTCAAAACTGACCTTCTCTCTACTGGATTGTCCCGACACATCACCAGCTGGTTTATTGTGAAGGTGCCTCCTGTATAATTCTGTCGCTACAAGGTTAAAGAGTTTCTGAATGTTGTGATTAGTTTTTGCGCTAGTTTCAATTGGTGGCGGTAGCTCATAAGCATTTGTGTATTCAGTAACTTCAGCTAGACTAACAGTTTCTGATGCCTCCTCGTAAAGATCAGATTTATTCCCAACGACTAATATCGGTAACATATCATCATCGTGAACATACCTAATGAGCTCCTTCATCCAGTAACTGGTCAGACTGTGAAAGCTCTCCCTCTCCTCCACACTGTACACTAGTATAGCTGCGTCTGCCTCACGGAAGAAGTGAGTCTCTAGACTCTTGAACCTCTCCTGCCCAGCAGTGTCCCATAGCTCAAGGACCATCTGTCGGCCATTAACTGATAGCTTCTTGTACTGCTCGCTGATTGGTGTCAGGGAGGTTCTCTCACTGAACTCGTTGAGGCTGTAGCGTAAGATTATGCTCGTCTTTCCAACATCTTTGTCTCCTAAAAGAACAATCTTGAATTTTGTTTGTTCAGCCATTGGAAAGGATAGTAGGTGTGGCTCATTATTAGTAATTATAATAATTATAAAAAGGATACTAATGAACATTACATAAATAAATATAAGCTATATAAGGATAAGTTTGGCAAAGTTTTGTGTTATTTTTCCGCTGGAAGTTTCTTCCTTTCAGAGAGCTTGTCTTTCAATGCTTGTTGATAATCATTAAGAGCTATAGTTGAAGTGTATCTCCACTGCTGACTCTCCTGGTTCCAACCTATCATTAACAACATACATAATATACATGGAATAGAAACACTATTCAGTCATTGAACATACCCAGTTCAATAACAGTGGTACTTGCTGTGACCCCTTGATCTTTTGTTGATAAACCTTTCTCCCATTTTGTTGCTCCTCCAAAAAGAATCAGCCACACATAGGGTGCACCAATGTTCATGATCGACATTGAAAAGAGAGTTCTACCAATGTCACTGGCTGGAGCATCAATCTTAGGAAATAAAATCAATAAATAGCATTCAAATATAGAAGCATCAAGCAATTAATATGTTGCTTGACTGCATCAAGTGCTCAGATATTTATCAGATATTTAATGATTAACATGCATAAAAGTGCAGAATACTTTAGTCCATGTCATATCAGAGGTGTTGAGTATCCAGCAGTCAGCTAGCAGTCCTCCAGCAACATCAATGCCTCCTCCTATCACTAGCAATGGATGAGGTTGTCTTCCTGCATGACCAGTCAGCAAAGTGGCAGAGTGATCGCTCCTCCCAACAGGCCATTGGGCATCAGGAGGGGCATCATACCTTTTCCAGGTCTATGTAATTATTATAAAATTAAACAAAATTAGCTACAGGTAGTAATAACTCACAACAACGTCTTTGGTTAGTTCAGCTACATAGACTGCATTGCTCTTTCCTTTCCCACTCTCATATCCTCCAAAGAGAATAGCTCTATTTCCTCCAATAGCTGTCAGTGTCAGTCCACTCAAAGCTGGTGGACAATCACCTTCAATTTGAGGAATGGTCCACTTATCTGTATGGAAAATATAATCATTAAAAATTATAGTTTTATTCATTATTTCCTGTTCATAGTTGGAATTTTTATTGAAATGAATTTCATCATTAAAGGAAGGTCACTGCAAAGATTGGGTGTGTAAATAAAGCACCAAAAAGGTTCTAATTAAAGAGCAAACTCGCAGATGGAATACAAAATATAATCATAAGATATCACCTTGCATTGAAATACAAGTACTGTATTAAGGAAAAACTTTTTGCAAATTGCTAAAATTCATAGGGAGGTTCGGCTATCAAAACACCAAATTTGTGAAAATTTATTACCTCCAAAATTACTCGCTATACAATTATCATGTCCTTACTTGTGGTGGTGGATATGATGTGGTGTTCATTAGTCCTGCATATCTTTGGGTTAGTGCTGCTCACAATATAAGTAGCACCAGGGACCTGCTCTGATTCATCAACCTCACCAATCCCACCAAACAAGAACAGGTAAGTGTCTCCATCGCATTGAAACGAGACCATACCACAGCTGTACTTCTTCATAGGGATCCCCACCAGGTTAGTCTGGACGTCCTTCCATTTCATCTCTACTGTGTCCAGCTTTGTGAGTGTGTTGTAGTAGCAGGTCCCGTGCCCGCACTGGCCTCCGAAGTAATAAATGCTCTCATCCACTACAGCAATGGCGTAGTAGCTGATCCCGCAGTGAGAGGACCCTCTGGTGTGGTGCCTCTCCCATCTCCCGTTCTTTAAGCTGAATATTTCTGTCTTTGCCATCAGTTGCTCTTTATCAGCGCTCGTGTGTACAGGAGGAACGTGCTTGCTTCCTCCGGCCCAGAGGTATAGCTTTCCTCCTACGGTCCCTGCAGAGTGTCCATACCTCTCCTGAGGCCTACAAGCAATCCCTCCTTTCAAGCTACCGCTTCTTCTATAGTCAATATCCACAGAGACAGCCATAACGCCAGATCCGCCCAAAAGAGCTGCAGCAAAACCAGCCCCGCCCTTATTTTGCAAATGTACACCGTAATAACTCTAATTATCCGATAACAGTGATGTTATTTTTGAGATAACTAAAAGAAGACGCACAATTAGAAACATTAGGGACTGGTAAATAGGTAATTTCAGCTGCAAAACACAGAATGTCCGTAATTAACGTCTTGAGCCTAAAATGAATGCAATTATAAATTATTATTATTATTATTATTATTATTATTATTATTATTATTATTATTATGCAGCTGCTTACCAGACACTTGTTTTTCTTTGTCAGTCAGTGGTACGTATATCACTCCCATTAGTCTCTCCTTTTTGAACGAGCCATCAGGTTGTTTGTCGTATTGTTCCAGCCACTGGTTCCCTCCTTGAGGACCCACTGGGAGAATGAGACGACCGCCAGGTTTCAACTGATCGAGTAACTAAAAATAATCAAATAAATAAATAAATAGCTGATTAATCTTACTGCTTGAGGTACAGTTGGTGCAGCTGCTCCAACATGAATAGCATCATAAGGTGCCAAGTCTGGATACCCTAACCTCCCATCTCCCTCTGTTCAGTATACAACACTCAATTAATGGCAGCTGCTCTACTGTTATGTACCTATTAGTCTAAGTCTGTCACTCTCCATTAAATGTTTGTTGTTCTTATTTACGTTCAACTTTCCCTGATCATTCAGTTCTTTAATATGTTCAATACCAACAGCACAGCCAGTAGAACCAACCTACAGGATCATTTAATGATGGCTAGGGGATCATGCTTGCATGGCTTTGGAGAGCAACTTTTAAGAACTGGTAACATCTCCAATTTCAATTAAAATCAGTTCAAAAAAATACAAAAGGTCAGGATTTTCTCATTTTCATTTTTGGCAAAATTTGGCCAAAGTCCCTGTAATATAGTACAGGGACTTGGTCTGATTTTAGGGTAACTTTAAAAATTCATAAAAATCCAATTTCAATCGGTATCAGCTCAAACTTTCTACGGAACATAAGTAAATGCATAAAGATTCTCTCTTAGTCATTTTGATAGAACAAAATGATAATGTTACCACTTGCCATAATGGCCATACAAGCCGTGAGGTATCCACTACCTGAGCCAACGTCTAAGACACGCCCACCCTCAACCAAATGATCCTTCAACACTTCAAGAGCGTGTGCATGCTATAATAAATAAAATAATTAAAGTAGACCACACCCCCTCCACGTACCATGTGTGGTGCACTAATAGTTGCCTGATAACCTTAAAATTAATTAATAAAAAATTATCATTATTATTAATAATTATGTACCGATTTGTTGTGGTGAGTCGTAATAAGGATTAAAAGGACAATAGTCTCCTCTATCAACTGCCCTCATGGCAGCCTCAACACTACCAGTCGTTATGATACCATTACCTTAATTAATAAGAGTGGGAGGGGCAGTACATTAGTTAATTAATGGAGTCTCACTCTTCAGATTAGAGACCAGCTGGTCGTTAGTGCTACCATGAGACCTCCAGGCCATTGTCCGCTGGTAATGAGGACCAATTGAAGCAGAGATTAAGAGGAAACTTAAAAATGAACTACCCAATCTTAATCTTCCAGCAATTATGGGTGTGGTTAACATTGCATAATTAATTAGTAGGTGTGGTTTGTTCTGCTATGCAATGAGCCACTCCCCCGCATGTATCATTGCAAGGCAGAGTGTCCACTGCGGGTACAAGTTCTTCTCTTCTTTGGGTCAGTAGAATAAAGGACTGGTTCCCTCTACAAGCAGGAAAGGAAGGAAGGGGCAGCTGTAGGCTGGAGTGAGTGTTTGCTCTACCTGTTGACAGATAAAGCTAGGCAGTCGGGTCACCACGGAATATTCAACACTACTTGAGCTATTATTATTATATTTGTTTATTTATTTAAACTGATGGCCCTCTCACCGTCACAAGGAGACTGAACTGTTCATTACCCAGCAAGCCCTGTACGCACCACATGCTAACAATGATCAAATCAAACAGTTTCAACCGAAGACATCACTCCCCGGTAAGAGCAGGCTTCTGTGGTCCTAGTGCTAATTGAGTCAGTAGCTAATACCTAGTGAAATACTCATGTAGACCATACACCTGCTGTAAAATGATAGCTTAATTACCACTTCAGCCCATAGCCCAGTGCTACTATTGTCCTGTGAATCTTATTAAACTTATTTTTGATATAATAATCATGAGCTTGATCTGTTAGCATCAAAGTTTAAACAGATCAACACTATGAAGCATAAGGTCTGACTGTGTGTGTTTTATTTCTCTTTAATGTTTTGTATAAAGTAATGAGGGATGATTAGTCTTTGTTGTGTACTGGTAATGGAGCTGATTATTATTATTTCAAGTGCGGTGGTATTTTGTCCTTTGTTTATGCAAGGGAAATTGGAATGACTTGTCAACACTGATGATTTGTTGTGTCAACCTCTCTCTAGCTAGACTCCTTTCAATGATGCAACACACAGTACAGATACATGTACATAAACACATACATACATAGCTACATAGCTACATACAGGGTATTACCGCATTATTACACTTAGCGCTGAGCCATAAGAGTAATGAGATATTTGTGTATTTCCTTTATAAGGAGAATGATGTCCCTTGTAGCTGATGGAGTATGACCAACATGTCCTCTGTGATTATGACGCTCATTTGAGCTTTGAGCTCTCACTAATTAGCTTTGTGTTGTCTTGTACTGAGTTTTGTTTATTGTCTTGTTTATAGTTAATGTTTACTGTTGTATACCTAATATTTACAAGTGCTTCTTCTAGAAATGAATGAATGTTTATGTGTATTGCTATGCTAATATTACATCTCTAATGTATCACCTGCTGCTTGAGTAGGAGAGATTGAGAGACTATGTGTCTATTACTCCCCCACTGAATATCTCCAATACTTACACACACTATAGCTATGGAGCATAGAAGCAGATAAATTGATTAAATTAAATCCACTTGCTTGTATAGTACATGAATGATGATTTCAACAATCTGTTTGCTTTACAATCAAAGGAATACCAAACCTTAAATACTCCTCTCTCTCTCTCTCTCTCTCCCTCTCCCTCTCTCCCTCTCTCCCTCTCCCTCTCTACTACAGACAAGACTTGTGTTACCAAGTCTACTCAATCCTCGTGACAAGAAGAAGTCGAGTAAATGGTCAAGGGAGAGGAGATGGACCACTGGACTGGAGAAAGGTCAACTGCCACTGTCCTTTAACCAGGATCCACTGGTGGCTGATGATAATACCATGAGACTATCACAAGTAAGAGAAATATTTAGTAGTAGCCGGTAGAGTAGCAGGTGGCAGTTTAATTAGACCAATTAGCTGAAGCTAATGGTATTATGAATCAGCTACTGCTTCATAATTCAGAGTCTACTGGATATTTTCTGTTTTTTTTTATAATTTAAATAATATTTTTTCATAACTACAGGACACCACTACAGATGCTAGTTTAATGTCACTGACCAGTTGGGGGAGCTCTACTAGTGACTTTGGTAGCTCGACGGACATAAATGAGCCACTTAGATCCACAACCCCAACCCCTGACCATCACTTCTCCCAACAAGACGTGCTCCAGGTAGAGCTACACAGGCAGACATTGTAATCTGTAACAATGTACATGTACTTGTACTGGAGTGAGTTGTCATATCATTGACTGACTGTATCATGTAGAGGGGAGAGAGTATATAAAAGTAATTAGTTCAATGTAGACAGACAAACATCAAACAGTGTTAAGGAGTTATTAATGTTATAACAAAACACCACCATCTGTTGACAGTATGGACACAAGTTGCAGGGAACTGCTCAAAAACATTCAAACTACATAAAATAGACATCATTACCAATACCTGCAGTTGAGCTAAGGATGTATGTAGTACATGCTTTATCCTGGCTAGTGTTTTTAAGTTAGATTTTCACATTAATTAAGTGAATAATGTAATGAATTAAGTATTAAAGTGGGAAACCACTCTAGCAACATACCCTAAGATCAATTCACACTAGATCTACCAATAGACCTTCATTAGTAGCTCTTGTTTGACTCAGCTCCAGTCTGTCTGCTCTGAACATCACCTGTCATCATACAACTATTAATATACACACATACCTGGGCCCCAGTACATCATTGTAGAATGCCAATACCTTGAGAAATGCCAATCATTAGTTTGATGTATAATAGCTGCTAAAGATGACACTATACAGTACCTCTACTGATAGTTATAAGGAGTAGTGGTTTGTAGTAATTTACTTACTAAAGATATGATTGGTATTTATCTCTGCTAGTAGTTAGCACAACAGATATTGTAACTAAGCACAAACAGGCTTGGATTAACTGATTAGGACAGATGATACTAGCTTCACTCTCCAGTCTGAGCTCTGAAATGGTTTTAAATGTGCAGAATTTTGATTTATTTATTTATTCATAGTTATTACTAAGTTATTAATAATAAAATGGCTCTCTTCTTCATTGATAGGAATTACAGCAACACCAGCAGTTTAGCAAATCCCTGGAGGCTGAGTCCAACCATCAGTACCAGCTCTCCTATGAACTAGCTGTAGATAATTCACCATTGTCACCTTCCACCTATGGACCAAGCACACAGGTACGTCATGTGACAGTCATGTGATACAGGACCAGTTTCAATTGTGTATACAATTGTAACTGTATTTTGGGTTGATTCTGATAACTTAGTGTTTAAAAGTATTCTAAATTGCTTCAATTTATTACTTTAAACCAAATATTATACTTTAATTATAGTCCATAGTATACATGAGTGTGTATAATATATGGACAGTATAATAATGTGTATCTCTTACAATATGTGATGTAGTGTGTGTGTGTGCGTGTGTGTGTGTGTGCGTGTGTGTGTGTGTCTAAATGAGGTCACACTGTTCAGTGACATTCCTTTCAATCCTCAGTTGAGAATAAGTTAAAAGTTACTTATGTTATTGATCATTATACACTACATCATGTACTGTAGCATGTGGTTAACATGTGCTCTTCCAGTGTATAATTACCGGTATCATTCGGTGAGCATGTGTGTGTGTGAGTAGTCGATGTCTGCCACTTCATTACATCACACAGACACACCCTAACACGTAATAACATGTAACATGTAGTAGCATGTAACCTGGCGATTGGTTTATGCATTAGGAACTGATACATAAACCAACACAGTGACACTACAACCTTGTAGTATCACTATAAGTACATGTACTTGTATTTGATTCATTATTAGGTAACTCAGTGTCTTTATGTGATAAGAGAGTTACTAACTACTGAGAGGAGGTACATAGCAGATCTAACAGATATCATTGAGGTACAGTAATTTGTAATAATAATTAAAATAGTTATAATCTGTATTATTAATATTATAATCTGTATTATTAATATTATAATCTGTATTATTAATATTATAATCTGTATTATTAATATTATAATCTGTATTATTAATATTATAATCTGTATTATTAATATTGTAGTCTGTATTATAATTTGTTTTTGTAATTGTAATTCTCCATTTTATGATTAAATGATCATTCCATTCATCATGGTAATATTCATCTACACTTTACTTGTGGTTTGTTCTTTACATTCTTCCCTCTCTCTCCCTCTCTCCCTCTCTCTCCGTTATTCATTATTATAATGTGTATGGGTATAGGGGTATCATAAACCATTTATTAGTAAGATTGGTTCACTGTCCATTACTCATGAAGATGTCTCTAACCTGTTTGGTAACATTGATGAAATAAGAGCCTTCCATTGGTAAGGACATACACTCACTCACTGTTACTGATACCTGGAGGAATGTAACCATATCCCAGCCATTGTTACACTGTGTCTTATATTAATATACAGTATAGCCTCTTTATAATGGACACTCTCTATAGCGTACACCTCCATTTAACGGACAGCACCTAGTGTACCAATTACATTCCTTACTGTATAAAATAACCTCCACATAAAGGACACCTCTGTATAACAGAGACACAGTGTCCATTATAGTAAGGCTAGTCTGTGGTGGTACAGGTCATTGGGTCAGTTATGATGACTGGGCTGTTAAATCATGTACGACATTCTCACACTAATTGATGTTGTTATAATAATAATAATAATAATAATAATAATAATAAGTGTTTTTCTTTTTCAGGACTATATTTGATGCTCTTCAATTTTGTGGACATGACTATCAGAAAATAGGTCAATGCTTCATAGACAAGGTAACGCCCTATTACTGGACAGTGTCTGATATTACATTACCTCCGTGTGTGTGTGTGTGTGTGTGTGTGTGTGGACATTATTTATAGGCTCAAGAGTTCAAGTTATATTCTCTTTACTGTAACAACTACCCTCGGTCAGTTAGCCTACAGCTGTTGTATATGAAACTATTTCTAGATATTTCATTGATTACGTCACCGGTATTATTATATTCATTCTTATATCTTCAGATTAGTACAGACTCTGGCTAAGATCTCAACGGATAAGTCCGTCTCTCGTTTCATTAAAAACTGTCAGCAGAGACTCAACCACCCCCTCCCACTGGGAGCGTACTTACTGAAACCAGTTCAACGGGTTTTGAAATACTCACTGCTTCTAAAGGTGGGTCTTAGTATTGGTCTTATCCGTGTTTTGATTGGTCGCTTTAATTTTAATTTTAGGAACTTGTAAAGCACATGACATTATCAGACAACGGACTCGTTGAAATGAAGGTATTATTATTATTATTATTATTATTATTATTATTATTGTTGTTGTTATTATTGTTTATTAGATGGCTCTGGATCACATGACTGAAGTGTCGGAACACATTAATGAGATGCAGAAGAAATATGATTCAGTTGTTCACACTCAAGAGATACAGTCACTGCTCACCGGATGGGAGGTATGGCCACACCCTCTCTCCTCTCTTGTAGCATTTATTCATTTATTTATTTATTTATTTATTTATTTATTCATTTACTACTACAGGGACCAGAGTTAACTACATATGGTGACATTGTACTAGAAGTGAGACTCAATCAATTATGATATTAATTAATATTAATTAATTAATTGCATTTAGGACAGTTTCCGGGTTATGTTGAATAAAAGTGGCTCTCTCAGACCAGCTCAAACCGGGTTCAAGACCATTAAAGATGCCTACGTGTTTCTATTTCAGAAATTAATTCTAATTGTTAAGAAGAAAGATGAAGGATATCAGTACAAGCTGAGTGTGAAGGTAAGATTAATGTTAATGATAAAAGAATCATTGAAGATTCTAAACTAGTTCACACGTACTTAGTTAAATGTGTTGGTGGTACTTCAGTTTCTGTTTCAATAGGTAGCTGATGCTCAGTTGACGGAGCACCTCAAGGATCAGACCAGTTTCCAAATAAGGCAAATATCAAGCAAAAGTACTTTAACATTCCAGGTACTAACCATGTGCACCCACAAGGGAAATTTTAAAATAGCTGTAACTTGAAAAATTGAAGTCGGAATCAGCTCAAACTTTCTACACAGCATAAGTACATCAATATGTATCAGAAAATGTAATAAAAATTTGAAGTGATTTCGGAGCCATTTTTTGAAAAATCCATGGGCTATAGCCTTGGGTATTTTTCAAAATTTTGGCATTTTCTTAAAATAGCCGTAACTTAAAAAATTAAAGTCGGAATCAGCACAAACTTTCTACACAGCATAAGTGCATCAATATGTATCAGAAAATGTAATAAAAATTTGAGGTGATTTCGGAGCCATTTTTTGAAAAAAACCATGGGCTATAGCCTTGGGTATTTTTCAAAATTTTGGCATTTTCTTAAAATAGCCGTAACTTAAAAAATTGAAGTCGGAATCAGCTCAAACTTTCTACACAGCATAAGTGCATCAATATGTATCAGAAAATGTAATAAAAATTTGAGGTGATTTCGGAGCCATTTTTTGAAAAAAACCATGGGCTATAGCCTTGGGTATTTTTCAAAATTTTGGCATTTTCTTAAAATAGCCGTAACTTAAAAAATTGAAGTCGGAATCAGCTCAAACTTTCTACACAGCATAAGTGCATCAATATGTATCAGAAAATGTAATAAAAATTTAAGGTGATTTCGGAGCCATTTTTTGAAAAAAACCATGGGCTATATATAGCCTTGGGTATTTTTCAAAATTTTGGCATTTTCTTAAAATAGCCATAACTTAAAAAATTGAAGTCGGAATCAGCTCAAACTTTTTACACAGCATAAGGACATCAATATGTATCAGAAAATGTAATAGAAATTTGAGGTGATTTCACAGAGACAAAGTTACATTCTCTTTATCACCAACAAGTTACTATTATTATTAATTTATTATCAGGCGAAGAGTGCTGAGCAGAAGCAGCTGTGGAGTGACAGCTTCAAAAGGTTACTAATGGAAAGCCTTCCAGGTCTACCTGACAAAGTAATTATTTATTATTATTATTATTATTTATAATATTATTATTACATTATTTGTTTTAGGCTAGACAGTTGATAATGGCTGGATTCACAACTGGTAAGTATATTGTGTATCATATTAATAATACTTATCATGTCACAGATTTACATACAACCCATCAAGAAGCACCAAAGAGTTTTACACTTGACAGAAAACATTATAAAAAAGGTACAGCTACAGCTACTGTAGGACCTACACAACACATTACTGGTTCTTCTCCCTCCCTCCCTCCCCCCTCCCTCTCCCTCCCTCTCCCTCCCTCCCTCCCTCTCCCTCCCTCCCTCTCCCTCCCTCCCTCCTCTCCCCCTTTCCTTAGAAGAGAGAAGTGAGAGTCCGTCTAAAGCGACCCGACACTCACTGGCCCCTCTCAGTACTAATCCAGCTGCTTTAAGACAAGTAAGTATATGATCCACTCTATAATTACATGTTCTTTTTATTATTGCACAGCACTCATCTCCTATTGGTTCCAAGTCAGCTAAACCTGTCATATCTCTGATAGGACCAATAGCCACTGGAGCCTTCATTACAACTGGAGCTAGTAATAATAATATACCGGAATCACCTTCAGGTACGTGTGCGAGTATCATGATTTATTAGTTTATCACCGATACAGGAGGGAAGAAAGGGAAGGTACGAGTACCTCACGGGGTACCCTGGACCAGGAGTGACTCTGATCCAAACCTCATGGATGGATACGATCAAAAGTTAACGGAACCACCTGCTAAAGTACGTAGCTATGTAGTACATGTACATTTAATATTTAATTAATTTATTTATTTTAGAACTTGCCTTCATCTCTCGCCTCCAGTCCTGTTGCTAGGATACCAGGTACCATTAACCTCAGCCGACCGGCCCCGTTAAACCACTCCCCTTTGGCCACACCTACTAATAAAGAGACTCCGGTACGTTCATCAGTTTCCTCTCCTGATCTGAAGAGACCACATCCACTGCCACTCCTACCAGTACAACTGGATGACGATCCCCTCCCTCCATCCTCTCCTGTATTAATAATCTCTCCTCCTGTTATAGACTCCCTTGTAGCCCCGCCCTCTTCCTCTACCCCTCCTTCCTTTCTCAATAGTCCTTCAGTAGCTCCTCCCTTTCACTCTCGCTCCAGGTCAGCCTCTTCAAAGGAGCCGTCACTAGATACCATACCCTCCATTGATAACACTCCACGCAACTCAGTTATTGAAGGAAACATTCCTGACCACACCCACTTTGACTCCACCTCTTTTCCTAATACTGATGACTCTGCTAGGGATCACGCCTCTCCTACTGGCCACACCCCCTCTCCTCTACCTGTCTTCATGTTCCCCTCTGATCCTCCTACTGATATCATTCCAGTTCAAACTAATGGAGACATTCTATTGGAACCTCCCCCGTCCTTTGGGGCGGAGCCTATTGTTACGCAATACACCTTGGACACTGGACCACAGGACACTGGACCAGTAGACACTGGACCAGTGGACACTGGACGAGAGGAAAGGAACCAGTTGCTGTTTGAGGAACTAATGAACATGCCTTCTTCATCATTAGTGTCTTCATCAGCCCCACCTACTTTAACATCTCCGCCCACTTTACCACTGAATGAAACTCCGCCTCCTTCCACGCCTCCTTCAACACCGACTCATTCACCTTCACTGTCAGCCCAACCCCCTTTAACTCCGCCCTCTCCTCAGCTATCAGTCCCGCCCCCTCCCCCGCCCACTCATTCCTCGTTATTCGGTGAAGATGAGCAGCAACACTTGATTAAAGTGCTGAGTCAGCATCATGACGTGGTTGATGATGAACTGACTCCAAGAGAGGAAGTGGGTGGGGCTGACCCCGCCCCAGTCCTTAACACAGACCAGCCTATTGTGTTTCAAGCTGAAGGTGACGCTAGGTCTAGTCCATCAGGCAAGGTCCCACTGAGACTGAAACTGGTATCACCTGGTGAGTTCCCACCTCCTGTCACTGATTATCGGAGACAGACCACACCCTATACCAGTATTGAAGACATGCCCTCATTATTTGATGATGCACTACCTGACACTCCCACCACTCCTGTCTGTCACCCTCTCTCTACTCCTCCCCCTTCCTCCCCTCTCCCTCCCTCCTCTCCTCCTATCTCTCCCCTCGTTAACTCGTTCTCTCGTCCGGCTGAGTCTTTAGAGGATTTTGAAAGCTCTTCCCCCAGTGTTAGGCGTTGGCACAGTTTCCATGGTGATAAGAACAGGAGGGTCTTTAGATCATTGACTGATAATTCAATGCATAAAGTTCCGTCTTCACCGAGAAAAGATAAGAAAGATAAGTCCCAGAGTAAGGCGGAGTCAGCTAGTAAGCTTGGATTTTTACGAAATAAAAGTTTTGGTAAATCAAACACCATAGCTGCTCGCCCAATTTCATTGGTCGGTTTAGTTCATTCAACAAGAGATGATTCTGATCTTGTTGATCTCTCTGATGCCATTGAAATGAGCAAACGCCACAAAGCTCAAACTCCAGACTATATCCTACTCCCACCTGCTGAGTTCAGAGCCCATGATGATGATACTGATACAACTTCACCCGAGACCATTGGATACTCTCCCCCTCTATCTTCATCATCTTCGGCTGCTAAAAGGAAAATAAGTACAGGAACTAACGAAGAGAATACAGTCTCATCTTTATCAAATATATCATCATCTTCTAATTCTGTGACTTCTCCTGATGGAGGGAGAAAGAAGAACCGTTGGTCTTTACTGAGAACCAAAACCTCCTCCAGTAGAGAGGAGGAGGGGAGACATGACCTCTCACCGACACACTCCAAGATACACTCTGAACCTCAGGGCAGTGATGGGATCAGTGAGAGATCAAGGGATCAGATCAAAGATGAGAAATCAAAGAGTTTGTTTAACGTTGACTCAAATGACACTAGACGCCGGAGTAAATCAATAAAAGAGAAGAGAAGGACCGGCACCTCTTCAAGTGAAAGAGCAGAGCTAGCAAACACTCTACCAGCTGGTAAGGAGCGGAAACAGTCCAGGGTACGTAACATGGCAAGGGAATACTCCAAACGTATCAAGAAACAGACCGCAACTGCTGAATCAGCAGCTACTACTGCCGGTACCAGTACTGATTCAAATGATGAGATAGCCCCAAAGTGGGTCATTGGCCTGAGAGAAAGAAGGAGACAAACTAACACAATAGGAGCTAACAGACACAGCATGATCAGTCAAGCAGATGAAGAATGGATACTCAATCACACCACCAGCCCACTGACTCCTACCTCAATACACTCTGAGGTCCCACCTGGTTTCCACTCACCAACGTCCATTGACTCACCCCCCATGACCCCGGACCCCTCCTGGGGGGCAGCCATTATTACTCCTTCAATATCTTTCTCAGCCGAGCATGAGGTTATAGAAAGACCAAAATCAACAGATCCCAGAGAACTAAAGTCAATTCATAGCAACCTCCAGCGATTCTCTAGCGAGACTGTACTGAGCCAGTCTACGGAGGAGGAGGAGAAGAAGTCCCCGTCCAAAGGCGGTAGTGGTCAGAAGGACGGAGGGGGGCGGGGGAAAGGTGGGAGGAGTTGGGTTAGATCACTTGTTTCACGATTTAATTCAAATAAATAAATAAATCGAAATCATTCAATTTTAAATCAATAATATCTTCAAGACATTTATTATTATTATTTGTGATTTTATTATCTCTCATTACATGTGGCATATTATTATTATTATTATTATTTTGTGATTTTTATGACTCATTTTTGTAATTGTGATCGTGTAGTGCTAGTTAATTAATTGTTATTAATAATTATTTATTAATTAATGATTCAATATTGATACAAGTTGAGAATATTTACATAATAATAACAATAATATTAATAAATTAGTTTCCTTTTTTGTGAAGCTTTAGTCTATGTTGTCCATACTCAGGTGATATCCATTCTGCTTTCACTGCTTCTTCAATATAGCTAGTGGCAGTTGATCCAAACAGAGCAGCAAAGCTTTCATCTGAACCTGAGAATATTTGAGCAGCCTTACTGGCATCAAGAAGAGAAGGATTGTGTCTCTGAGTGTAGTTGAATCTTGAGGTAAAGAACTCGTCAGTTTTGGTGAAGTTCATCAGAGGGTGAGTGAAAACGTGAGTTGTTTTTAAAGGTTTGCTGTTTTTGAGGGAAAGGAACAACTCTATCCTGTGCCTCAGGGAGGCTTTGTCTTGAACCAAGATGGTAGGAGATTTCGATATAACGTGACGGGCTTCCTCAAAGCTGAATCCAAAGCCTTCAAAGAGTGAGACTGTACCACTAATGCTATGAGACTGGTTTACAAAGGACGGGATCTTATGAAAGCACATCAACACGTCGCTCATGTTTAAAACTGGAGACAAGAGATCCTTGAAGTCCGTTAGCTTCTGCTGGAGACCCTTCAAGTCTTTAATGGATGCCACATCTTGAGGGCAGGACCTTATCAGGTAGACAATGTGAGAAGTATCGAGATACAAAGGAGCCGTGCTTAGTATTCTAATAATGGAGTAAAGGTGTGTGTCATCAATGAGGAAGAATGGTGGGTAGGACGTCATCATGAATTCCGGTGGAATCCCGAGGTCACTCAATATCTTCATCACCTTTGGCGTGTTTGGAGTGAGCGCTGCCACTTTTACTGGCCTTGAGGTGAGTGCTTTAATTAGAATACTTCTTATCCATTTTATGTTGAATCCAAAACCAGCTGCTTCAGCTAAGATACGATATACCTGATCACTCATAGGGCAGCTCAGTAGTATTGGGTTCTCAAAAAGTATCTCAGCCATTTTGCTGCTCTCAAATCCAATTTTCTTCAAAGTCGCTAAATTCTTTTCCAGTACTTCGATACAGCGTGTTCCAATCACTAAATTACTGATATATTTCTGTTCAAGAAAGGTCCCCCAGTTAATACCAAACTCATCAAATACTTGGCAAACTTTATAAAACCTTTTCCAGTCGACCTCAATGATGAATGGGATGGAAGGTACTATACTAGCTACCTCAGTCTCGGAGAACCCAGCTTCAGTGAGGCTCTTGATCCTCTGGTCAATATCAGGAATAGAGGTGCCAATAACTGAAGGATGAGAGAGATGGCTTTTAAATGAAGACAGATCCAGTTTAAACTTTTCTTGTAACTGTGTGACCAGCTCCTCTTGTTCGTGTCTGTGGTAATCGGATAAATGTGGTCGCCATTTTGAGTGGTCAAGGTACGTGGAATCTGATATTTTTACTTTCTTGTTCTTTTTCTTCTTAAGGGAAGGATTCTCTTTCAAGTCTCCATTTTTCTCCTCCGTTCTCTCACCAGTGTCCTTCTTCTCTCCCTTTAGCTCCAGCAGTGCTTTTGCCAAGTCCTTAGGAAGTATCTTTGGTTTAGCACCCTCCGTTACCTGCTGAGACTTTCCTGATTGTTTTGATGGCAGTTTTGCTGATTGAGCAGATTCCCTACTAAACCCAGTGGGCGGGGCAGTGGGAGGAGCTTCAGTTCGTACTTTATCCACTTCAACTGGTTTGTGTGGAACAGCCTGTCTTTCCATTTCTTTCTTAGCTCTTTTATTATCCTTTGCTTCGTGTTTCAATTTGGTCTCTTTTCCCTCGTGTTTCACTTTTGCTTCGTGTTTCAATTTATTTTCATTTTTTCTCTTCTGAATTGAAGCCTTGAGCTGGTCTACTGCTAGTTTAGGCTTCCTGTACTTGATCTGTTTCTTATTGCCAGTAACTGCCTCATGGGCAGTCGACTGGCTGGAGGATCGATCGCTTGTGTGACGTGGGACACTTCTAGCTCCAACTGAGGACGAGTCTGCCTTCACTTTGATGTTCTTCCTCTCTTTATCTCTTAACTTGAGCTCTATACTGATAGCTGGGGCAGTAGCAACCTTCCTGGTCCCTCTACAATAGTAGCCAATGGCGGGAGAGGCTCCATCAGTGAGTAATAGTGACAGAGGAGTCCTACTGTACCTGGTAGATACAACTGGAGCGGAACAGGAAAGCCTCCAAAGTGAAAATACTCTAATGATGGTCGCCATGTGAGTTCTTTATCAAAAAAATCTGACTGTGCCACACCCATAAATATTTGAATAACTTGAATAGTTAACTAACCAATAGGCTCATAACTGAGTGATCATGAATATTAATTAGCCCGGGGAATTTGAAAATTTGTATAGATAGATCCCTAGTTTAATGCAGCTTAATTTAAACTAGATTACTTTAATATGTGTTTCTTTGATAGTCAAATTGTCTCTTTCCATTCCAGGCTCTATGTAAACAGGCCTACTCTACTCTACCATTGCTTACATATGAAAGTTATTAAAACACTAGTAGTGATTCTAATCCCCGCCTTTTGTCATAACTGCAGAGCTATCTTGGCTCTATCTTCTATAAAGCAGCTAGTGTTCCCAAGCCTGTTGAATGTTGATATTAGAATATAAAATGGACCTAAAGAGCTCTTATCTACTTATTGCCTTCCTCTCTATCCAGTTTACCATTGCTGCAGCTGTATCTATCCCGCCTCTACCAACTGAAGGTCAGTACATTGAACTCATAAGCAGCCATTATCTATTATATATATATCACAAGTCTGTCGTCCTACATTATAAAGTATTGTATATATTCTTTAATGAGCTCTTATTAGCACCTGTATAGCTGGAAGGCTCAAGGTGCTAATAAGTGGATACAAGTCATTGTACAATTCATTGTTTGTTTATACAGGGATACAGTTATACCTCTCTTCAGATAACAGTGTCCTACCAGATTACAGTCTTCTTCAAGAATCTCAACTTCCCCTCAGTCAGGGGCTTCAGGGGCTTTGGTGTCAAACCAGCAACAGTTCTCAGAGCATTAACTGGTACCTACCAAATGGGACTCTTGTCCCAGCGACCAATGGCACCGGTCTACCAGTGTACTCCTACAGTGCTCCTGGTCAGTCGGGTCTCCTTCGTACTGATCTAATAGGGTCCTATCAAGGACTGTACAGCTGTGTTATCAGTAATGGAGGGAACAATGACAGCTCAACATTAGTGGCAGCTGTTGTAAGGGACACGGAATATAACAGTGCTGGTATGTCTTATTGTGTGTAGCCCATTCATAATAAACACTCACTGAGTGAGAGAGTACAGTGTATAACTAATGATGCATTAGTTTGTGCTTTGGTAAATCCTTCAGCATAAAACCAGCCGAACGTTGGTTTGCTTTACATTAAATAGACAGACTCTTGTGTACATGTAAATGATGGTTGATCTGTGTCAACTATTAACAATAGGAACTGAGTACATAATGTCCTCCTCCTACCTGTGAGGTGATGTTCCCATGTTAGGTGCTATAAACTGTATATCAATAGTTTGTAATCATAATGATGATGTATGTAAAGTAATGATATAATGTTATGAGTGATAGTTTGTGCAACGTACAAATAGTAAGTGTGTGTGTGTGTGTGTGCCTATCTGTCTCCTAATGGAGTAGTAGTTATTACTGGGTAATTCAATTAGCACTTCATTCCATTTGTATTTGTACATCCACTTTATCTCTTACCACTCTACCTTTCATCTCACTCTCTCCCTCTCACTCCTCTTCTCTCCCCCCCCCCTTTCTCTCTCTCTCTCCCCCCCCTTTCTCTCTCTCCCTCCCTCTCTCTCTCTCTCCCTCCCTCTCTCTCTCCCTCTCTCTCTCTCTCATCCCTAGTTGGTCCCATTGTCACTGGTGATCTTCATTTCTCTCTTTTATCGTCAGTTGACTCACCACAAGTTTCCTTTTCTCTCTCCTTTAATGTTACCAGGCGTCCACCGACCAATGTCACCTGTAGCCTCAACGGCACTGTCATACCAGTCAACGGTAGTGATATACACCGGAGGGCAATAGGGTCAACATTGGATAACATACTGATTGAAGTGATGGTGATAATAAGGATCAGACAGGCTGGCCTGTATAGCTGTACTGTCTCTAATTCAAGAGTTGATAATGTACACGTGTACCCAGGAGCTGGCAATGGGAGGTTCATATCAGGTAGAGTATGAAGGATATTAATAGTTTACAAGCTCTGAGTATATTGTACTTGTGTATTTAGTGTCTGTATGTTGATGTTCTTCTTTTGTAAGAACATTATTATTTGTCCTGTTATTGCATGTTTTATGCCATTATTTATGTTTCTATGCCAAATGTCCATTTCTTGTATAATATCCACATTGTTAATATCAGTAGCATCATGTTAAGAATGTACATTGATTCATGTTAGTATGTACATTGTTAGTATTAGTAGTATCATGTTAGTATGTGGTGATATGGAGAGTATATACTTGATTGTGTTACTGGTTTAGACATATTTGTATTTTTAATTTGTTTAATAAATCTCATAAAATCCAGTAAAATTACATCTACTCTCATACCTGGTAATAATTATGAATTCTCTCTTTTAGTTACTGATCCTCCATCCAATGTACTTGTTAACAGAACAGGATTGACCAGTTTTAACGTCAGCTGGACCCCTCCCCCCTTTCTCTCCGCCCCACTGGCAGGATATCAAATATTCCATCTTCCCATTTCTGGTGCCAATGTGATGAGTGGAGTAAATATTGTCAATAATGAGAGTCAAACAGTAGCCATTGATGATCTAATATTTAATGTTACATATCAGATATTTGTAGTATCAGTTGGAGGGGATATACCCAGTGAGCAATCCAATGCAATACTTGCATCAACAGGTAAAGGAAATCAATACTGTACTCATTCTACTCCTCTACTAATGTATTGAGTGATTATTCTGCACATTTTATTAAAAAAGGATTATTAATAAAAGGAAATGGATATTGTGTCTACATTATATAGACCAATGCACATGTATTACTGTACTTTTGACTCATGAAGGTTTTAATTTATATTATTAAATTTGTATTATTTTATTCCCTAACCAGGCGTTACATTCAGCATTACTTCACATCCTCCTCTCATTCCATACATTGGTGACACTGATATTACATTAACATGTACAGTTGCTCTTGATGTACCGATGATAGTGTTTCAGTTGGTATGGTTGGGTCCTAATGATACTGTGATTCATACTAACAGCGTTAACATGAATCAGTCTGGGCCTGATGTCAGTATACAGAGTATTGATCTCAGTCTTGATCTCATTGATCCAGCTACCATTGGAATGTATAGATGCATGGCTAATTTCAGTAATGATAATGTCACAGCAAGTACAGACTATGAACTAATTGGACAAGGTATGTGTGTACATGTACATTGTATCTCCTTATGTGTGTCCTTATATGTGTGTGTGTGTGTGTCCTGTATTGGTGTATTGCTGTATTGATGTGTGATTGTGTGTGTGTGTGGTGTCTGGTGACATCAAAATGTCATCATTATTCTTATTTTGTGCAATCTTGTTTATCATCTTAAATCCTAAAGTGTAAATTGGAGTAAAAACAAGCTTGTAAAATTTAAAAATAAACTATAACATCTCTTCCTCTCTGCAGCTCCTGATATTAATGTCACTGTGTCCATAGTGTATGGAGACCAGTCTTTAATAGAGGGTACTTATACTGACCTGCTGTGTACAGTCAGTAATATTCAAGGATTAGCATCACTCACTATTGTGTCATGGTATTACAATGGAACTGAGATTAGCAATGGAACTGATTATACTCTCAGTCAAGAGAGGAGGGAACTCCTTAGGATAAACCAGCTGTCAGTATCCAGGGATAATGAAGGAGTATACTCGTGTGTAGTGAGTGTGGATACTCGGTATCTTATTGGAGGAGTGGGCAATGACTCTGTGGCCTTAGCTGTTCAAAGTATGTCCATATCTTTAAATATGTGCGGTCTTATTTTAATTATTATCATCATATCATTATTATTATTAATATTATTATTATTAATATTATTATTTACATGTAGGTTTCTCGTCTAATGATATAAATATATTCATATCATTTTCAAAGCCCAGTCTATTTCTTGGTGATTCATTTATTCTACAGTGTTCATTAACAGTACCTGATAGATATATCTACCAACCAACATTATTTGAAGCTAGATTCTTGTCATTTGAACTGCCTCTTACTACTCCTTACTTGTCTGGTGTTAGTGAAGAGGCCATTGTTAGAAATGGAAGCACTTATATACGAAGTTATAACTTTACATCAGTCACTGATAGTCATATATATGAGTATTTATGTAAAGTTGGGTTTGCCAATGGTGTTACTAAGAAAACAGATCTTAAACAGTTGAGGGCACAACGTGAGTTTAGTACATGCAGTGAGAGAGTTCTCCATTTTTATAATGTTTCCTGATACATATACATGTACTCATGCTGTGTAGATTATTTATTTATTTATTTATTTTAATATATTTTTCATATTTCATCAACAGTCACTCCTCCTTTACTCAGTTTCAACGATGACATCATCCAGGTCTATGAGAGTACTCCATTGATTATCACTTGTAACATTATCCTCCCGTCAGTAATCATGGAGCTACACGAGGAAGGATCATGGACTGGACCAGATGGTCAACCAGTCCAGATCACATTCAATGGTAGAATAACAGCTTCAGGGATTAACAGACACAATAAGAATGTCCTTAGGATCAGTCCGGCTGATAATGGAGACCAGAGTATCTTCAATGATACTGGGTTCTACACCTACACCTCCAATATCTGGATTAACGATGATAATATAATACCAGCTACTAGCAATGCTACAGTCCTTGTTAGGATTATAGGTACCTACACACATTAATTCTTGATATATAATTTAATCCATTCTTTATAGACCTGCCTCCATTACAAGTTGATATTAATGTTACGGGTAGGAGTATCTTTGGTCAAAATGTTACTTTAGTCTGCAGTGTGGAGCCAATCACTAACCTTGAGGTATCAATAATTTGGAGAAGAAATGGAACACTGCTGCCAGCTGTTACTGGAGCTGATTCCTCGATCCTATCATTGAGATCCATTGACAATAGTTATAATGGAGTCTATACTTGTACTGTAGGGTATAACGTTACAACCACTGGTGATAATAGCAGGGTTGATGAAGAATATGAACTCATCGTGCAAGGTATGCACTTGTTACTAAGAATAGAGAGAGTTCTATATTTAGTCAACAAACTAGTATATGTAGCATTGAAAGCATAGGAATGCAATGTTACTAAAAATAGAATAATCACATTGTCTAAAAATAGTCACTATGCTCTTTATTATTTAGATTTAGGATCTCCTCACAATTTCCGCTCATCATCAGTGACACCATCCACCATTGTACTCTCCTGGGACCAGCCCTCCCTCGCGACCTTTGGACAGTTTGAAAGATACGAACTGGTCATATCTTTTACCAATGGAACCAACGAGACCACAGTCAAGATAGACCCAGTGTATAATACATATCAATTGGATGGACTGTCTCCTCATCAACTAGTAGTGTTTACAATATCAGTTCTTTATCCTGATGGATATGGACCACTTGTATCACTGAATGTGACTACACTACAAGATGGTATGTATATGTGGTATATTGTCACTCTTCTTGTTTGTTCCCCTCTCCCCCCTCCTCCCATCTCCCTCTCTCTCTCCCTCCATTCAATACATGTACTATGATATATTGTCTAATGGTTTCATGGTGAGTTCTTATTACTTCAGAGTCCAGTCCAGTGCGTAACCTATCCATTGACTATCAGTCTTTATTGATAACCTGGGCCCCTCCCCTAACACCCAATGGTGTGATAGAGCACTATAGACTAGTACTGACTGAGTATAAGGAGCCACTGGTTGCTAATGTCACTGTTGCTGATACTACAGTATACAACATTAGCAGTTTAGGTGAGTCATTGTGATAACAAATAGTTTGAATTCTACTCTACATATACCCTATACCATACTACATGTATCTACTCTTGATACTATCAGTATTATCTTAATCTGTGTATCATAAGATACTGTTGTATTTCAATCACTAGCTCCTGGTGTTCCTTATGAAGTGACTCTATGGCCAGTTAATGGAGCTGGTCCTGGTCCTAGTGAATACCTGCTGTTCTTTATAGAGGAGACTGGTAAGAAACATGTTCATATTATCATTACTAAACCTGTTGTCCATTAGCCCCTCTACCAGTGTCCAATGTAACCCAAACACGTATCAACGGTACCCATGCTATGGTACACTGGTCGCCATTGTCCTTAAGAGAAGCCAGAGGTTTCATACGCAGCTACACTGTGGAGTATGAACCAGTGGCTGACCAGAGAAGACTAAAGAGAAGAGTCTCATCAGTGACTGTTGCCTCAGGTGTGAGCAGTATATTACTCAATGACTTGATACCTGGCAGTTCTTATGGGATAAGAGTAGGAGCTACTAATAATGGAGGAACTGGTGGTAACAGTGAACCAACCATTAGTGATAGTAAGTGTATTATTAGTGATAATGATATTCACATCATTTTAGGACCCCCTACTTCTAAATTTCAATTACAAATCAGACCCATTGAGTCCTGCAACGTAAGTATATTAATAATAATAATAATATAAACAATACACTATTACAGGATGATAAAGACACATTGGTTGATGTACTACAGTCAGTATTAGTGGATACAATATCCTCTAACTGCAGCTGCTCATTTCAAGAGGAGTACATCAGTGGAGAGTCCCTTACCTGCAGTAACTCCAGTGCTTATTATAGAGCTAACATTACATCATTCGGTTCTATAAATAGCACAGTATTAATAGACTACATATCACAATGGATATCAACTGGACCTAACATTAGCTCCTCAATAATGATAGACCCATCCTGCCCCACAGTGTACCTCAGTAATGATGATCCTTTCTGTGCAGTGGAGGTCTCACCTAGTCCTAGTGTAACTGATCCACCTGCTGAAGAAGCTAATGGTAGTCTATTAGTAACAGTGGTAGTGGTCATTGTAGTGATTGTAGTTGTACTGGTGATATTGATACTAATTACTGGAGGCATAGTGTACTGTCTTTATAAAAGAAACAAGTAATTAATAAAATAATAATAATAATAAATAATAATGATAAATAATAATGTTTTTGTTATTTTTAGACCAAAACCAAAAGATCAGTTAGAAAGACACCCACTGGCCATCAGTTACTACAAGAATGACTTCAAAGCATCAGACATGATACCAGAGGAAGAGGAGGATGGGATCTACGAGCCACTGGACCCTGAGGGGAACCTAAAGGTATCACGAAACAAGAGCCTCACGACAACCCTCCCCCTACCCCCGGTACCTGAGGGAGGAGGGGAGAGACCAGTGCATAGGAATGAAAGGAGCCAGTCGATGATAGTCTCTGGATCAGGATCAACACCAACAAGACTATTACCCCTCCCTCCCACTCCTCCATCACTGAATGAAGTACACAGTAACAATGCAACCACACCCACACAATCCAATGGATCCCAACCACTGCCCATCAGTGAGTCTCTTCCTACCAGACTCTCAGGACCAAAGACTGGGGCTTTCAGTCCCGGACTGGGTTCCTTAAATGAAGAAACTGCTCCCGGGGATGTTAATAAAGTAATTGCTGGAGGTACTAAACCAAAAGGATTCACGACGACACCATCAGCTGCTTCAGTCCAATCTATTGGCAGTAAAAGAGCAAGCAATCTGACCATTGCATCTCATTCAATGTCAGACCGCGGTCCATTGTCACCAGCGACCAGTGGATCACCTGTTCTATCACCATCAAGCGTCCTCTCCCCTCAATATGAAACACTAATGTCTCCATTGTATGCCAACGCTGATGCTAAGGCAGTGGCTAAGAGGACAGTGTCTTCAGAAGGAGAAGATGAAGAGAAGTACATTATAATGAAAGGGACTGGGTATGCTGACCCAGTTGAACTCACAAAGACTGATCCCGCCCCCACGAGTCCTCAAGAGTATGAGACCCCAGTGTCTTCAAGAGGAGGGACACCGGTACCGACCAGTAGACCAGGGTCTAAGGCAGCAGTGGCTCTCAGTAAGAGTTTAAGTCCAAGAGATCGTGTGTCCAGCTGCAACTCAGTATCTTCAAGAGAGGAAGGAGCTCCTTTTAATATTGATGAATCTGATATTTATTCAAAGCCGGTGGTTCCCAACATATACAGTGATGATATTGATGATGATGCTACCGATGCTACAGGGCATGAGTATGCAATACCTGTTGCTTCACCAAAACCTCCTACCTCTCCCGTCCCTATTGTAGGCAGTGATTGGTTGTATGCTGAACCTAACAGTCCATCATCCACTGGCTCAGTACCTCAAGATTATGAAGTACCAATAGTTACTAAGCAAATACCAGCCTCACCTCTTCATATCGTAGCTCAGGAATATCAAGTGCCAGTAGTATCTAGTAATGAAGTGAGTCCTCAGACATCACTGGATCATCAGTCTCCATCGGTTGATTCAAAACCAGCCAATGAAGAACAGTCTCACGTCCTTCATCAAGAGTATGATATTCCAGTTGTACCTAGTCGTGATGATGATGATCCCAAGACAATAGCAAAGAGTGACTCTACAGTAATGGACAGTTCATCAGTGAATGATAAAGAACTAGGCCAGGGGGAGGTTACTGCTGTCATCAAAGACACTGAAACAGGATCAAATGAGAGGGAGACAGAGGAGGTTCAGCTGTACATTGAAGAGAAATACGAGGAGGAGGAGGAGGAGGAGGAGGAAGAAACTGATGATAAGGAAAATGAAATGAAGAGAGAGAAGGAGGAGAATGGTGGCCTTGGTCTGGTTGAAAAGGATGAAGGAGGTTTAGGGACAATGACTGACAATAAAGACTTGAATCAAGAAAAAGGAAAAGATGATAACAATGGAATGATCAATGGTGAAATTGGAACAAATTTATAAAAAATAATAATAATAATCACATTTATGACTTTTATATGTTGTCACAGAAAAAATTAATAAAATAATAATTATTACAATTAATTGTATGTTCTGCCTTTTTAAATGACATATTATTATTGTTATTATTATTACTAGACATGATAGGATAACATAATGAAGTGCATTAAATACATGATCATACAAACAATGACTAACAATAAAAATGACACCAGGAGCTGCTACCTTGACTCCAATTCCTTTGATAGCTACAGTACAAAAATAATAATAATAATAATAATAATAATAATAAATACAATTTTAATTGTGTGTGAAGTTGGTCCCACTAGTTTAAAATTAAATATACTAAAATTAATTTTGTATCCACACAATTAAAAGTCCTTGAATAGCGTATGTATTGTACATGAAATATTTCATACTTTTTGAAATTGTTCAAACATTTTCACTGACTCCGGATCACCTTTCACTGGCGGTACAGGCTATTAATAAAATAATAATAATAATAATAATAATAATTAATAATAGCTATCTTACAGTGAGTTTCCCTTGGTAGTTGCTCCTGCTATAAGTGTCAGAGTAAGAGGAATGAGTTGGTTTGGGTCTGGACTGATGGTGGGCTGGGAGTGACACTGGATAGTTATTGTTAGCTTGCTCAATGTGGAGGTACTGGCGCTGTATGTCAAAGCGAAGACGGTTTTCATCCAGTGAAGTATACCTAAGGAGGAGGAGAGGGAGTGTAAGTACATCTAATGGAGGGAAGGAGGGAGTGTCTAATGGAGGGAAGGAGGGAAGGGTTCATTAACAGATAAAGAGACCAATCTAACTAAGAATGGGACACTTAAAAGAGACGATAGGCTAAATACGAGTGACCAAAAGTTTCCTAAACTCTCTCTAGATCTGACAGTGATCATGTACACATGTATATATTCAAAATGGTGGGTTTACCCTGTAGTCTCATGATTGTCCATTTCATGTACTTCATGATCAACGACCACCACCGGACCAGAGGGTTCCTTAACCACAGGGAAGGACGAGAAACCCTCTGGATAGGAGGTCCTCTTGACAGGACTGATGTAAGATTCCCTTGGAGGGTAGCCATGTTGAAATCCTTCCTCCACAGATGGACTGGTTGGTTCATAAGGCTCTGACAGCTAAAGGTATGTAAAACAAGGATCAGTATACAGGGATATACAGGGGTACACAGGGATATACAGGAATATACAGGGGTACACAGGGATATACAGGAATATACAGGGATATACAGGGGTACACAGGGATATAAGTAGTGCAGAGCTGTTTACTTGTGATTGCACAGTAGTCCCATTCCCTGTGTCATCATTATTAGCATCACCAGGTGGATCTGATGTTGAACCAGTTGTTGACATGGCGGCCATTTTAGACTTAACATAAGACATATCAGACTGGGTCCTTTGCAGTGCCAGTGGAGGAGAAGGAGGAGGAACTTCAGTTACTTCTGATTCATCCTCATCTTCTTCATCCTCATCATCATCTTCATCATCTACACACGTACATATACAACAACAGGAGACACAGGTGTATGTGTGTGCATTAATTAGTAATAATTATACTGACCACTGTCCTCTTGGACTGTTAATGGCTCACCAAAAGTGAAATGCTACAGAGAAAGTGACATTATCATGAAGCAGCCATTAATTCACTTACTTCACAGATTTTATTGAATTTGTCTACCAAATCATTTGAAGTGAGTCTCACAGCTGGGTCCTGATCCCAACACCTGATGAAGGATCACATGACGATCACATGATGATCACTTACTTTTCAAGTAGTTCATTAACAAATGGTGGATGACCAACCAATAATGGTGGACGTTTCCCTAAATATGTTCAATTCGTATTTAGACCACTCCATACCTTACCTTGTACCATTTGATATAAAATGGCGTAACTATTGGCACTGACTGATTCTATGGTGGGGACCTGACGGGCCAGCATCTCCCACAGGGTAATAGCAAAACTGAATATATCACATTTAGTAGTGTATGGATCACCTAATGGAGCATGTGTACAAGTACAGCTAATATAAAAGTGGAAAATTCTCTACTTTTCATTTTTGGCGAAATTTGGCCAAAATCCCTGTACTATAGTACAGGGACTTTGGAACAATTTTAGAGTAACTTTAAAAATTCATAAAAAAATCCAATTTTAATCGAAATCAGCTGAAAACTTCTACACAACATAAAAACATGTATATGTATCAGGAAAAAATATAAAAGTGGAAAATTCTCTACTTTTGATTTTTGGCAAAATTTGGCCAAAATCCCTGTACTATAGTACAGGGACTTTGGAATGATTTTGGAATAACTTTAAAAATTCATAAAAATCCAAACTTGATTAGAACCAGCTTGTACTTGTATTAATTACCTTTAATAACTTCAGGTGCCATATATCGAACAGTACCAATACTGGCAGTATAGAGGAGGTTAGTCTCAAGATTACGACAAGTACCAAAGTCACACAATTTTAAACGTGAGCCATTACCAAAGAGAAGGAGACTAAGAATAGCAGTTAACATATTAATGTAAGTAAATGTATAATAATTCAAAATTGGTCTAATTTAATTTTACTAAGTTTAGCTCCTCCCCAAACTCCGCCCACTCTAATTACTTTGATGATTTGATGTCCCTATGGAGTATCCTCTTGCTGTGGATGTGCTTGAGACCAACGGCCGTTTGACGGGACCAGTGCATCACATGATCCACTCCATATCTGTATCTGTGGGGGTGTGACCCATGTAACACTGTAGGGGTGGAGCTAGTTATTAAGATTAATTGATGAATTAATTAACTACCTCTTTCTAATGAATAAGGAGCAAACTCCATTACAATATACGGCTATAGATAAATAAATAAATAAAAATCATATAAATACGTGTACTTCTTTCGTTTTAGGAGACGACCCTGTTCCATAAAGGATGACAATATTCTCATGTTCTTGAAGACACTTTAAAAACACCAACTGACGTACAGACAGGAAGTGGGTGGAGTCAATAATTAATTAAAGACTCATACCTCTTGCTTGTATCCTCTCTTCTCTTCAACTGATTTAAAATACTTGACAGCAACATCTTTACCTTCGTGTGTTGCCCTACACACTCTACCATAAGCTCCTTGCTCTACAAACTGATACAATGGCTACTAGCAGGAGCTGTGAATAGGTCTACTGTCTTACTTTCTGGTCTGGTTTGAATTCAAGAGTTGTTTCCTCAATTATTGGACACTCTATCTTTAGTCTGACCTTCTTTACGCCTTGCTCTGCCTTTGACATGATCAGCTAGGAGGAGGAGGTTAAGTTAAAAAAAACCTGAAAAAGAAGAGGAACACACTTAAAGTAAACCCAAGATTTTTCTCATGGGCGTGGTCTATTTTAGTTATCAAAGGGTTAAAATTGATTTGCTGGTTAATAGATCTAGATCTATGTTAATAACTAGCCACTCCCATTAAAATGGCGTCCAGTGAGGAAGTGAAAGAAACTAAAGAGAATTCTTTGTCCTTTAGTAAACCTGAAGGTAATGATCAGTACTATAATGAATGCTAATGGACATATTTACTATACCAAATCAAAACTGTTTTATTGTTTAATAAACTTCCTTTGTTCTTCATTTGAGGTTATTGTCTGGTGGTTGATAACAGTCAGTGCTCCTCCAAGCAGCACTCGAGGTGTCTTCCTATCAAGAGACTGTGTCACATTTTAAAGGAACAGTTCCACATACTCAGTCTCCACCTCACATCTCTCTCCCTCTCCTCAATCCAATTACTACTGAATACCATCGGAGCCACTGACCAATCAGATTCCTCCGTTCTTATTGTAATTATGATCACTCCAAATAAGGAAGGTGTGATTGAGGGGGCGGACGGTAAATCAATAACAACTAAACAAGTGATGGCCTCACTTTCTGACAGGGAGGCACCGGGTCTGGTCAATATACCAAAAATATACCTGTTCCAGACCCTGTCCCAGGACCAAACTGATGATAAGGTGAAACTGACCTGCTCCCACCCCGTGGGGTCGTCTCAGCCACACCTCTCACACCTCCCGTTGCTATTGGATACGATGAGGTCCTATTCAGACTCCTCCCTCAATGGCAGTATATTTATTAATAATCATCAGATCAGTTTCAGTAACGAAGGGCTCAACCAGGCCTTCATAGTACCTGAACAATTCTCCGAACAGTAAGGATATTTATAGTCATTGGGTGTACATGTACAATGTAATGTTTGCTCACTTCCGAGGAGCAGAACCTTTTGAGTAGTTGTAGTGTTGCAGTTTCATGTTAAACTGTAAAATTTTTGCTAAAAGTTGATGCATTGTCCATTAATTACTGGTTGAACTGTCATCATAAATGAAGTTATGATGTTCATAATTGCTTTTATTAACGTACCATTATTATTCATTAACTACTTATTCATTAATTAACTAATAGTTCATTCCTGTAGGTCAGTTCCCCAGTGTCTATTATCGGAGCTGCAGTCTCTCCTGATGGTGTTCCTTCCAATACGAGAGAAGGTTTTAACAAAGTTTGCCGAGAGTGAGTCCCTCATTATAAAGACCTGTCATGACATTTACACTAATAAGCTACTCGGAGGTACAGGTGGTCTAGCGGGTACCATATTCACAGTCACTGGTCTGGCCCTTATACCAGTGACCCTCGGGGTGTCTCTGATATTGACCGGTGTGGGGGCGGGGCTTGGAGCAGTGGGTGGAGTCACTGCAGTAGTGTCTACTATCAATGATGCTATTAATAAAGGAGAACTGGTGGAGCTCAAGTATTTAATGGAACTAGACTATCAGATATCAGTGTGTATCAATAATGTATGGGAGCGACTGGGCAGCTGTAACAATGAAGGTCTTTCAGGAGAGTTTTACAATAAACTGGATTTATCATCAAGTGAAGGTACTAATGGAGCTTTAGTTAGTTCAATGGATCTTGTGGAGCTGATGGGTAAAGCTTACAAGCAATTGAACAACAAGGAACTGTCTGCCATTGTTTGGTTAAAAAGATATATTGAAGAGAGACAAAAAGGGTTTGAACAAATCAAAGATATATATAAATCAATAAAATTATAATTCATCATCATCATCATCATTGTGTATTATAATTTAGTTTACAGAATATGAATGAATTGATTGAATATTTAATCTTCCTCCTCCTCTTCTAAATGTGACAGATGCAGCTGGACACTGTGTCTGGGTAGAGGCTTCAATAAAGTTTCAGGGGGTGGAGCTGCTGAAAGTCTTTTAGGTTTGTTTGACAAACCAACGAAATATTCCGGCATTTTAAAAACACTTCCTTCATAATGTCCACTGTCGGTAGACTGGGTACTGTCCCTGTCATCATCACCTAATTGTGACTCTCCTTTTACTTTTTTAATTTTAACGTCACCAGGTGAGGGTTCATTGCCTGCCCTTTTCGTTGATCTTTTAAATACAATTTTACCATCATTAGTCTCATCGTATCTCCCAATAGAAGTGGGTGTGGTTTTACTATCTCTTAACGAGTATATAAAATCCAGCCCCGCCTTCCTATTAATTTGTTCTTCGTTGAGTCCCTCATACCCAGCCTGGTGACTGGTACCATCATCCGTTAGGTCATACTTGGTCCATTTAGTAGGGTTGTGCACGTAGTCTGGTGCTCGGGGTGGTCTGTGATCACGTGATCTCTCACTAAACTGGCGTCTGTGATCACGTGATCCTTCTCTACGCTGGTGTCTGTGATCACGTGATCTCTCACTAAACTGATGTGATCTTTTGCTAGTAACTGGTTCTATTGTTCCCCTCTCCTCTACCCCGTCAAGTATATATTCCTCTTCTTTCATTGGAGGGTCGTCCACTGCCTGTAGTTTGGTCTTTAGTGATCCAAACACTAGAGACAGTCTATCATTCAACTCCATTTTGTTGTAGGCGTGTCTGTCTAGTTGCTGTCAAAATTTTTAGACTACCCCAAAATTTTGAACATGATTATCAATCAATTTTTATTTTGATAAAAACAGGTGTGGTTTTGGGTGTGGCTAAAATAAAATGGCTGTCAAGTGCATATTCTTCAGTGAGTTTGATCCGGTAGCTGGCCCCGTTATTAGTTACCAGGTGAGTCCATTGGTAAGAGGAGGAGTTACTCTTTTTATTAGGTGCCCCAGGAGTTCCCCATAAGGGAAGCATTTGATGCAGTACACGATCTGATAATAACCAAACCCCAGCTGTACGACCGACTGATATCAGTGTATGTTAGTTGAGGCTCTATAACACACTGACATTGGGTAACCTCTCTCTCCATGCAGTGACGCTGGGGGCTATCGGATTGTTGGTTGTCCTAAGTCTATAGAGGACAACAGATACGCTCGTAACGCCCTCATATTCAACTTTGTTCTTGTTTTTGATGAAGACACTGACACTACTTATTATGAACCAGTTGTACAGAAACTGGGAGGAGCTTTTAGAACATACGAGGTACAGCATCAGTTATACTGTACAGCTGAGAGTATTGGGAGGGCCATATTTGGTGGTTGGTTGGCGACTTTGCAATCGGCAGATTTTATAGTTACCAGATGTGCCACTGAAAGCATGTGAAGAACAAAACAAAATGGAGTATATGTCACATTGACAGGTGCTCATCCCAACAGACAATCTGCCAATTATTAATTAGCTACCATTATCACCAGCTATATGGTTATCTTGTTTGTTTCCATGTAGTTAGAGAGTCATTTTTTATCCACCAAATCATCAAAATCAACAATACCTTCGATACTAACACAATTACTGATTAGATTGAACTCAACTGGGATTTGTATCATTAGAATAGGTATTTGAAATTTGAAATTTGAAATTTTTAAATTTCCATTTAGATGATACTAATACTCTTCGTCTGAAGGTTTCTCCTAATGTAAAGGACCCTCCGTTAGTCTGTGACCATCATGTGCCAGTCTTCACTCAATCCTCTTGTCAGTTCAAGCAACTGGTGAAGGACCTGGTGGCTCAAGAGGTTAATTAATAATTAATTATTTATTAATTATTAATTGATCAATAGATAATTGAATATGTGAATGGGTTCAATCATGTTGCTAAGATATCTCACCTTTCTGAAGTGAGCCCTGTGATAGTCAAGGAATGCATCCAGGATTTAGTGTAAGCTATTAATAGTATCACTGTTACTATTAATAGTATCACTAGCATATCTATTTTTAATTAGGATTTTTGGATTTGTTAAATTACTAAGCATCTTTCAGGTACATAAATACTTGAATTTCCTTAGTTTATTTATTTATTTATTTATTTGTTAGTATTGTAATGTCTATGTACCAACTCAAAAGCTACCTCAACTAATGACTGAGGAAGAATTACAGACAAGATGTCTTCAGTTTGTATCACTTGGAGGTAAGAGAAGACTTCAAGTGAAAGTTTGTAGTCATTTATTGCGGCCCTTCATGTTGCTATAGATACGAGACCAAAGTTAGCAGACGTCTTTAGAATCCTGTGCAGTTTGGAAGCTGGTTTGAGTGTCAAGGACTTGTGCTTTAGGAATGATCCAAGATCAATGAGCATTGATGAAAGGTACTACGTGTTGGATGATGAACAATGTTTGATCATTAAACAGGAAACTGATACAGTTTGGGATCATGGAAGGGCTGATTCATCACTTACAGAAATATCCAGTACTGAACAGGGAGAATAGTGATATACCTACTGAGCTACAACCATTAATCAAGTATTATTACTATTATTATTATTATTATTATTATTATTATTATTATTATTATTATTATTATTATTATTATTATTATTATTATTATTATTATTATTATTATTATTATTATTTTCTTTTTATCAGATATTTGGATGGATCCCATTGTTTTGATGAGATATGCTGCTCCTTGGGCGTGTCCAATCAAACTTTAGATGAATTAATTGATAAATGTATTGACATTACTGTGTGCTGGAAATAAATTTATAAGGAAGTGTATATAAGCTATAGTCTTGCTGACCAATAGGAAGTGATCCCAATCATCCCATTGGCTAATGATCACGTGACTAATAGACGGAAACACGTGCATGCACGTGTGCGGGTACCACCCACGCGTGCGATTAGCTGTATAAATACATTCCAGTCATCCAGTGGCTCGATATTTGGAGTGGAAATGGCGACTAGTAGTATCAGGCCAATCCATGAAGGAGACACTATCCTTCTCTCTTGTGTGGACAAGGATGTCAGTGGATTTGTATACGCTCTACCTCCCTGGTAATCTACACGCTACCTTATGCAATGCTGTCTTTACCTTTTCCTTAAACAAATAGTTCGGGCTACAGTTGTGCTGTCATTAAAAGCGAAAAGGAAAGACCCAATGTGCACGGTAAGTCCTTATGCCCATATATAGTATTGTTTAATCTCTCGCTATATTCACCTTTCTCTCTCTCTTTGAAGCTATTTCTTTCCAAGTTCTACCAGAATATGCTCAGTAAGTTATTAATTAATCAATCTATTATTATCACCATTATTATTATTGTTATCATTATTATTATTATTATTGTTATTATACAGACCTGATTTGTCAACTTCACCTCTTTCAATCACGAAGGTCAGTTTGGTTGACGCACACTCTTGTATCTGACAAAGGGGGTGTGTCACGATTAGCTGTTATTGAAATTGTTTTATATTTAGGAAGAAGACAGACATTATTTGCATCGTAAATTAGTTTATGGTCGAAAGATAAAGGTATATATAAATAATTAAAATACATTTTTGTTTGTTGTTTTTGACATGAATTCCTGTAATAACTGAGATTTGTTTTCCTTCAGTTGCTTCATGTTGCATCAAAGAAGTATTTGTCAATACCTAACAAAGCACTAAAAGAGACTGAGACAGAACCAGTGAGCACTCCCTCTCATTACTACATGTCGCATACTCTCTCCCTCCCTCTCCTCTCTGTTAGGGTTTCCTGTCAGATGAACCTTATCTCTTTAAGATGCTTCCTCCTCCTTCATTAGTGAGCAGTTCAAGAGGTCAAGATGTAAGTATTCTAATTATCCTTTCATTATCCTTTCACTCACACACTTTTAAGTATTCATGGCGTACATGTTCTCTTCTCCCTCCTCTCCAGATATTCCCAGGGGATGAGGTGATTCTTGAAACTGTCGGTAGAAAAGGTCATCATGTCCTCTGTGCTAAGAATTCATTAACTGACTGGTGAGGGAGAGGGAGTGGGGGAGGGAGAGGGGGACTAACTTAATTACTACAATCAATTAATTAGTTGCTATGGTCATTGGTCGTGCGGTATTATTATTTATTATAATTAATGTGTTTTGTACTTTTGTACTTTTGTAGTTTTGAGTTGAAAATGGCCATCACTAATTCTATTTTTTCTATTAAATTGCAAACAAAAAGTGATGAGTCACTCCCTAATCTCATCAGGGTAATGAATAATTAATGAATATTATTAATTATTATTATTAATATTTAGTATTATGTTTATGCATTGTTCATTGTTATATTACTCAGTATGTAAATTACTCAGTATATTACTCAGTATATTGCTCAGTATATTACTCAGTATATTCTCTATAGGGCGGTAGTATCGTTAGGTTTCATAATGCTAGGACTGATTCTTATCTGTGTGCTAAAGGCTCTACTGTACACACCATCCTACCAGCTGTTGATTTTGAACATGACAACAAACAAAAAGGTATCATCATCATCATCATTATTATCAATATTATTATTATTATTATTATTATTATTATTATTGTTGGTGTCTCTAGTTTATTTTAAAAAGAAGAGGGTCCTTCCTGTCCCAAGGCCTCCCCCAGTGTCTGGGGATTGTTGGTGGCAGCTGGTGAAACAAGAAGAACCTTATGATGGTTAGTAGTGGGAGGGGTCAGGGGTGTGGCTTCTAATTAATACACTCTGTGTATGCAGGTGGTTCTATTGAATCAGGAGGAAAGTATTTATTGAGACATTTACCAACTCACATGTACCTCATGACAGGAGATGACTTTAAGGTAGATACATTTATATACATGTACATTTTTTGCATTTATACATTTTAAATACATTTTCTTATTAAACAGTTGACAATCGGTTCCATTGATGATGTGGATCCTAAATATTACACATTCACTCTTACTAGTGTAAGCTGTACTTGACAATAATAATAATAATTGTTATTATTATTGTTGTTGTTGTTATTATTAGTCAGTTGCAGCTGCTGATAAAAGTGTATTAAAAGGTTCAAATGTTACTTTGATTCATGAAGGAATTGATGATAAGAAAAGATACTTTCATGTTGATGGTAACCAACATACTATTATCATAATCTTATTACATGTGTATTGTTAAGATGGTGATCCTACCTGGTTGACAAAGATCAGTACTAAAAGAGCTCTGGGTAGCAAAGGACTGAAGGTCAGTGTGTTCTTGTCTTACTCCAGGACCAGTCGTGGTGTCTGTTGCTGGTATCTTATTAGGTAACACTGAAGGAGTCGTTAGAGGACAAAGTTCAAAATGAAAATTCATTTAAAATTGATGAAGTATTATGACACTGGCCTCTCCTACTAGCCAGACTCACTCCCTTTCCCCCTTATAGGTCAGACCAGACGTGGTCCACTGGCATTATTATGTTGAAAGTGTTAAAAATGTTTTAATGAGATATTTTCCAAAGCTTCAGGTATCCATTGTAGCACATGTACTGTACATAATGTATCGTTGGTAGGGGATCCATGGTGACCCTGTGCTAGTGGAGCTGGTGGCTGTACTTAAAGAACTGGTCCGTTGGTTGAAGGAGGAATCACCTTATAACTTAAAGACCCGTGGGAAGATGTTACGCAATGCACATGTGAGTGAGCGGTTACTATTAATAGATTATTGATACTATTAATAGATTATTGTTACTATTAATAGATTATTGTTACTATTAATAGGTTATTGTTACTATTAATAGATTATTGTTACTATTAATAGGTTATTGATACTATTAATAGATTATTATTGCTAATAGGTTATTGATTTGCTAGTTGGTTATATTTCTATTGATGTTGAGTCTGGAGAAGAGGATAGAGTTAAATTGCTGCGAGGAGTTTCTGAAGTTTTGAGACAATTTTTGTTAATTAAGAGTCGTCACTCGCACTTTTATATGGCAAAAGAAGCGTTTATGAAAATATACTTTAATAAGGTGAGGGGGTGGAGTTTGTTATTATTATTATTATTATTATTATCAATAGCTTGGACTAGGGCTTGGTGTTGAAAGTTTTCTCATTGCATTAGTAAAAGATGAAAGGTAATGAAGAACCTCTTGATTGATAAAGACATTGACCCATCCAAAGAAGCACCTTAGTACAGAGTGTTGTAGAGAAAATTTCTAAAATTTATGTAACATTTAATTATCCTATTCATTTTAAAAGGCAGAATTCTTTTCTTTGCCTTTTTGGTGAAATGAGGCCAAAGTCCCTGTTTTTAAAAATCCAATTTTTAATGGACTCAGTTCATGATTAATCTTTTATTTTAGTGAAATTGCCAAGTACCTGGTTGAGTTTTACTTTCAGATCCTCAGGGACCCCACGTCCACTTTAAAAATACACCTGGTGAGTGATCTGGGCAGTAGCTCATACAGTTGATATGTGAATGTGTCCATTGACATATTGTGAATAGGACACTGCTTCATTGGAGCTACTCTCCACCCTCTGCTTTGTTGACGGACATCCTGAAGAAGCCTTACAAGGTTCATGTACATAATTAATACTACTATTTCAATGACATTTTTAGATTTGATTTGTGAAGAAGTTATTACGAAGGATCTGGTAGCAATAATAATAAAAAATAATCGTAATAATTATTATTATTGTAGGGTGTTTTTTATCACACTCGTTTGGATGAGGGTGCTAATGTTATTTATTATTCAAAGTCAAATGGCACTGACAAACCAATTACTAACCTTGGCTCTAGTGTATGTTAATATAATTAATTATTATTAATAATAATTATTAATATAGGAAGATAATAATAATGAAGACCTTCATTTTTTTGTTGCACAAATTTTCCTATTCAGTAATGTCTGTAAGGTTAGTATCCATTACCTAATCCTAACCACACCCCTGCCCCTCCCCTCAGGGTGTTAATATGTCAGCCATTAAGACCGTCTCCAGTTGGTTCCCGTTCCAAGAGGCTCTGGTTATCCTTGATAAAGAGAAACTGGGTGAAGTCATTCATCCGAAAGTGAAGTCAGCTTACCTCCAGCTGGTACTGGCAGTCTATCTTGATGAGGTCATTCATAACAGCGGAGTCGACATTGACAGCATCTGGCACTGCTTCGTAAGATTATATACCCTAGTTACTATTTATAGACTGCAGTTACTATTTATAGACTAATGTTGCTATTTTTAGTTGTGGGAGCGCCTGGTATCAGATTCTTCTGACGAGCCTCAGCCTCTTCATGGAGCTAACATAAAACCAAACCTTCTTGATAAAAAAGACATGCCATATAAGGAAGAAGTTGAAGATCTATTGAAAATAGTGGAGGAGGAAGTGAACCAAGGGGTAGGGAAAGTCAATCAGAAACAAAAGAAAGTCAACCAGGAGGGAAACCATGTAAGAGTTAATAGTTTGTTTATTTTATTTATTTATTTATTTTACAGGAGTACCTCCATCAGATACTAGCAGTGATGGAGTTGATGTCCCTATATGGCTATTGTTGGAATGTTGGTGACGCTAAGAAGTACATTAGCATTGATAGTGTAGTCAGTATACTGGAGATAGGTGGGTG